TAGCCGACCTGGAGCCAGAAGAACAGCAGAAGCGGATCAAGCCTGCTCCCGAGCCCTCTACTACAAGGTTCCCGAACTGTTTCGCAGTGCTTAAGGATCCGCGCTGCTTATCAGATGGCCCTCGGGACGCTTCTGGCAGGGCACCGAAGATGCACCGGTCTCTTCGAGATGGTTCGTCGTGGTTCCTGAACCGAAGGTCCTGGTGTTCTCTGACCCAATGGTTGATCTGCTTGCCGAACTAGGCCTTGGCACCTGCTCACGACAAACGCTGAAATCCTAATGTTTTATTCTAGGGGCTGCGCCCACGGGCGTGCAGCACAGCTAGAAGCCTGGAGCAAGGCCACGCACCCCCCCCTCCGCCGAACCCCGCTGATACGGATGATGCGCGAAACATCGCCTCGCGCTGCAGGGCCGGCTGCAGGCGCCCCGAGTGCTCATGATGCTCGCCGGCTGGCCTCCCGGGTGGTCCACGGGGGCCCCGAAACCCGCCATAGCCTGGGGAATGGCTGCGAAACGCGTACGTGTTCCGAAAGGCCTCCGGGCGAGATCCCGCGTGGCCCGGTGGAAAAACGAGGGTCCCATGAAGCAGGGTCGGCAGCACTGCCGGTCACGCATTTTGCTAAAGCAAAGCTTGCAAACTACTTCTCGGCTAAGACTCGAACTCACAGGACGCATGCGCTCGGGGACCGAGCGCTGCCCGATTTAAGGGCCGACGCCGCTGCCGCCGACTGCGACAAGCTGGGTCTGGCATATAAACCCCATGTAGCTCGAGACAGCATTGCGCTCATGGCAACTCCGAGCATGCTCTTGAACTTGATGTGTCCTGAACTGCTCAAGCCTTCAATGTTTGGGAACGCTCGGAAGGCCGGTTCCAGCCAACGCATCCAATCCTCTTGATTGGGATCTGCGCACGCAGTGACAAGCTCATTGTCGATGGGTGGGGATGTCGACAGAGTCTTGTCCAACTCGAGCCCAAGCTGCGGCTAGGAACTGATGATGCGGACGAAAGCGCGAGTGCGTTGTCTGCATCTTGTCCAGACGGCTCCGTCTGCCCACAAGAGCGATGGTGTGTACTGGAAAAGCGATGGGGGGTGGGGGGGGGGGTGAGCGGGTGTAGAAGAGTAGGGGGCAAGGAGCCGGAGGAGCTAAGGGAGGGGGTAGGGGACTGGGCACAGTCGCGGAGTTTTTTGGCGAACAAACGCGTGCGTGTCAGTTTTAATTTCTAAACTGCAGCAACTAAGTTTTTTGGAAGCGGGTAGGGGAAGATGGCCAGCGGGGGCAAGATTTGTCGAGAGGGGGACGTAGGGTGGGGGGTCGGGGTAGGTAGCGCAAAGGCGGGGTTGGGGGTGGATCGGAGTATCTAAATTGAACAAAAAAAGGAAATTAGGTTTTGGGAGAAGGGCTAGGGGCCGCTTGCAGGCCACCCCCCCAGCCCCTAGTTTAAACTTTAAACCCTTCGCCACGCCCCTGCCCCTACTTGAGTTTCTACACAGCCGGCACCTCCGGCTCTTACTCCCACACCCCTACCCAGCCCCCCTTACCCTCTATATCGCGCCTCCACTGTACCCTTCCTGGGTGCTCCCTTCTCTCCCCCACCCTCTCTACCCCTCCGGGACAAACGCTCGCCCCCACAAGCGGGGTCGGCGGATTCTGTGTCTACAGATGCCTGCACCTTCAGATCTGGACTCGCGAAGTTGCGAAGCTCTGCAGGAAAACGGTTAGATGTGTCTGCCTTCTATATCTCGTTTGCAGCGACCTCGGCCGAACCTCACTTCTGGCGTAGATGCTTTCATTGGAGCCTTCTTGCCCTGTGCATGGGCTGCCTGTTGAGGTGCTGGCGCCTCTAGCGTCAAACGCAAGCGAGCTGGTGGCAGCGTGAGCGCTGTCATGGAAGAGCACGCAAAAACTGAGCAAATTACATGCCCTGGGAGGTACAACTATGCCAAGAAGAGGACGTGCAAGTCCATCACCACATCTCTAAGTACCCTCGAGGTGAGTGGGGCGGGGGCTTGCGGGGACTGTTGTTTCGGACTTCCGGGCCAGTGCGCGGGTCCTGTGCACAGCGACTCGGCTTTCGGACAGACTTAGTTTTGGGGCGCTGTGGAAGTCAACGGCGACGGTGGCATCTAGGAGCAAAGTGCCCTTGCCTTCTTTTCCAACCGTTCCAGGGGGCGGCCATCATGAACAACACCTTTTGCCTTGGCATCTTCCTGGGCCTGGTGTGGCCCTGCTGCAAAAAGGCTCCGTGCTGTGCATGATGTGTACGTTTGGTGTGGGCGTGTATAGAGTGCATGTCCATGGTGTGCATGATGCCAGGATCCTTGCTCAGTCTGGGTAAGTTGTGGTAGGTGGCCGGAGCCAGAACCAGCATGCTTGGTGCACTTAGAGACGCAGCTGCCCAGGTACTTTCAGAATCTAGCACGGGACTCAACTCAAGCGCTGTGATGCTTTGTTATCCTTCACGAGAGCAGTGTTTTCCGTTTAGCCCATCCACACTGCTTGTCTGAGGCATGGGAGTTCTCAGCCGAGACCATCTCCATCCTTTTGATCGAGGCTTCCGCGGTCTGCGCTGCCACAGCCAGACATGCAGCAATGTAGGCACCCAGTTGCGAGCAACCCGCGGCCTGGTTCCCCCTGGCCAGTCTGTGCTCAGATGAGCAAAGGTGCGGGCTAAGCGTGCAACCAGCGACAAATCCGAAAAAGCCGTCCACAAGTTCGAACATCCAGCATGAATTAAGCAGCGACAGCAAGGACAGCAAGGACTATAGCATCAACAACTATCCCTGCTGCTGCTGCTGCTGGTGCAAATGCTGCTGCCGTTTCTGAGAAAAGCTGTCTGCCTGGAGTCTTTGTTGGTATACTTACTTTCGCATTTTTTTCGATTTGCGTCGAGGATGTCGTGCAGCCAGTGTGGGTTCGGGAGATTGACAGGCTAACACCCTCTCCACCTCCCAGTCTCAGCACGCACTCTAGCAACGATTTGCTTGTGGTATCTTGTGGTGGTTGTGGACAAGATGTGCATGCAAAAGCCTGCAAGAGCGTCAATCTATATTTCCAGACTGGGCATCGGTGTTCCAACATGAAGGTTTTAGTGTCGTCGCTCAATTTGCGAACCGGAGTTTCATATTGTGCCATGTGGCTATGCCTGGTACTTGACGCACGAATGGAGGGTATGTTTGACGATGCGCTTGCATTCTTGGGTCATGTCGTCGAGGGTGCACCATCTAGCTTTGCCGTTTGCGGTGCTCGGCAAGTGCGAAGTGTGGTGTGACATGGAAGGCTTCCATGCGAGTGGGGTGTCAACTAATCCTGAGATATCTTGAGCAACTTGCGTTTGTCGTCAAGTCATTCTGGCAGGTGCTGATGGCTTTGAGCATTCTTTTCCGCCGAGTCCATAGACTACTCGACGCGCTGTGGCCTTGGAACTGCTTCTAGAACACACCTACATGTGCAGTTGAACACACAGCCCAAGTCGGTAATCACTACGAGTTATATGTAACCAGAGTAAAGTAAAGATCAGTGCGGCAGAGTCGCGGCTCTCCGGGTTGCCAGTGTTGAGTCAGTGCTGAGAAGGGTGTGTGGCAAGCGGGAGCTGAGGTTTTTCATCCTCAGTCTGTACCCACTCTGCTTGGCTACCGTCTATGTGCTCCACCCAGCCATTCGCGCACATGCATACGTGGAATCACAGATTTTTGTATGAATGGAATGGGCAGTCTTTGTATGCCATTGTGTCGGCACGCATGTGCACAAGCACACCGCGATGTGGTCGATCGTTGACTCACAATTGGCCTTAGTCCTTGAGCTGCAGGGGTAAATCTCGCAGGGCTGGAAGGGACGCTGCGCTTTTCGCGCGTTCCGTGCAGCAGTTTTGCAACCTGGCCAAGTCTACACTAAGCGAACAGTCTTCACAGACTTGGGCCTCACTTGTTTCACGTCATGCATAGAGTTGATTTAAGCCGTGATCAGGCCCACGGGTGCTAGTCATTACCACGTATGGCACCTGAACGCACGGTGGGACGAGTTTCGTGCTCAAGCGATGCGCGCCTTTCTGCTCCGACTCCTGCATCCAGGTCCTGGAAAACTCTGTTGGATGGGATTGAGAGACCTGCAGGTGCATTGATTTAGCATTCCAGCATAGAGCGCAGAAGATTGCGTGCTTTCACAGGGCTTCGCGAGGCCTTAGAGGCTTGAGCCAGCCTTCTATATCATTGTTTTATCTTCGTTGAGTCTTGAGCCGCGTGGCCCCACGAAGCCTGCTCGGCTCGTGCACCACGGCATGCCATCTCCACCGTGCCTGGCTCGGATGTAACCTGCCATGCTTGAACTTGAGAGCCGCGTTGCTCGTGCCCAACCCCTGCTTGGTCTCGGGGCAGCCGGTGGCTCCCTGCATCGATGGCGTATACCGCCATGTCCGTCTGGTGCTGGAAAATCTAGTGCCTGTACCCTACAGCTCACTGCGCTTTCAACTCAGACGAGTTGCGGTCAAAGAGGAGCGGAAAAAGCCGTGTGCTTATTTGCAGCGTGGGATGTGACATTCTTCCAATCTCGGGGTATTGATGTCCTACACCTTCATCTGCTTAACTTCTGTTCTGCAAGCCCATGGATTGACAGATTACGTACGGACGGTCTCTCGGCTCAATCAGGAGCCAACCGGCTTTTAGAGCTTTCAGGTTTCTGTGCATAAAAGAGGCACCTCTGTGTTGCACCATTCTGTTTTGCAGATGTCTACCTCGACCTCCCTTTGTTCTGGCACTGTGTTTTTTCTCGGTTGATTGATCAGTTGATTTCGCGTTTGCCGATCTTTGGAGTGCAGCAAAGGCACATGGGTGACATGGAACATGATGCATGCATGGCTGAAGAACAAGCGTACTACAGTACTACACGTACGCCAACATTGAGATGGTAATCCTCTACGATCCTCTACCCTGTCCACTAAGCAATACACCTCAAGGGGAAGCAGAATCACGAGATATTGCACCGTGGCCGGACTGCGCCGATGAATGCCGATGATGTCATGCATCCTCTTTCTGCTTTCGGCGGTGTCTGCGCAAGACACCGCGTCGCTGGCCCCACTAGCTGCGACCTCTCCGAGCCCGAGCGCTCCGAGCCAGAGGTTGGCCGCATTCGGTGCTCACACGGGCGATCGGCAGGAGGCGGGTGAGGGCAGGCACTTGGTCGTCCTCGGCGCAGTCCTTGCTGGAGCGTGCATTTTCTCGGGCGTGATACTCGGCTTTCTGCTGCTTTCTTCAGTGGCCGGGCTGGCGGTGCCTTTACTGGGAGCGCTCCCATCGACATCCGCGGCCGTCTTCGCAATGCAGGTCCTGGCTGTGGGGTCAACTTCGCCTCTCAATGACCTGGCTGTGCCCCTGCGCTGGATGGCCCCGCAGCCTGACTCCATGCTGGTGGGCTGCATCCTTCTGCTCGCCTTTGTGTGGCTGGCGCGGCGTGCCGCTTTGCGCGTGCATCGCAAGCAGCTCGACCAGAGCTCCGCGGAGCCCCACGGTCTGTCTCCCGGCTCCTGGGAGCTTCGCGCTTTGGGGCTCGTCGCCTTCCCGCTGGCGGCAGCAAGCACGCAGCTGGCGGCAAGCCTGGATCAGGCAGACTCGGCTCTGGCCGGGCTCGTGGTCTCCACGGTGATCTTGTGTTTTCTCACGAACCAGGCAGTCTTGGCCTTCCGCTTCCTACACCAGGCCTGGCCGGGGAGAGCGTCAGAGTCTGAAAGAGGCAGAGACCCGCCAGGTGCTGGAGGAGGGCAGCGTGACGCGCACGCCGCTCCCGGCAGGCGCTGGCCAGGTGTTCATCGACAAGCGCTGCGACGAGCTCAGGGCTCTGCCCCTGGGTGCCTCGCCTGGGGAGGCGATGTCAGAGTGGCTGGGGACTTCGGGCTGGTGGGTGGCTCCGTCGGTGGCTTTGATCGAGGAGACAGAGTGGACAGACGAGGCCATGGAAACCTTTCGAGAGCGGATGGCGCACTCCAGCCTTGAAGTTCCGGAAGACAGCACCCGGCAAAGAGTCGCTCGACCTTCGATATGATGTTGTCTGCTGATTTACAGTCAGTCATGCACGCCTTTTTCCTTGTGTTGCTTCCAGTTGCAGAAAATCAGAGTTCTATCAGCTTCTCTTCGCAAGAGTTTCACAAGGGCGTAAGAGACATTCACACTCTAGGCTCCAGACTCACTGGATGACGAACTGCAAGATCAGCCATTGCTGGAGGCAAGAGTTTGAGCGAAGTCTGCACTCCACTTCCGAAGGCAGCATCTCCACGGATCTGTAACATGGCGGTCTGTGAGCCCTCCAGCATGTGAGGGTCAAATCCTGAAAGGGCTGGTGCACCGAAGCTGGCCTTGCTTTGTGGGAAGGCGAAGTCCGAGGGTGCGGACTCCACTGGCGATGGCACACCGAGCACCCTCCCAGAGCCACAGGCCTCTGTGAAGTGTGTTGTCGACTGGACAGGGTCTTCACGTGACAGATGTAGCCGAAACACCTCCCCATCCTGGGCCTTAGGCCTTCGGCCTTCTGGCACTTCGCTCAATTGAAAGCAGGAGCCAACACCTCACACGTCTGACCCAAATCCAACTGTAGCCATCAATCCACGGGCAGTCCTGCAGGTCCTGTTTCGGGGTGGGGCGAGCGCGGTCAAAGAATGCCACCCGCTCACTGTGCAGCCGGTCGGCATGAGTGCAGTTTGGGCTCTGGATCGGGTCACTGTAGTCACTGTCCTACTGAGGAAGTCCACGGTCTGCTTCGACGGCCCGACGAGGGAGGCTTGTGCAGGCCAGTCTATCGAAGTCGAGTGCGTCGCTTCACCTTTGGGTCTTGGGTCCAGAGCTGAACGATGGGCGGAATGGCTAGCCGGGTGGGCAACATGTAGCGGGCGCAAGCCGTTTCGACGAAATTGATGTGCCAGATGACTGGTGTACCAGGAAGTCTTGTTTTTGGATTTTGACTCGACTGTAAGGCGCCACACTTTCTCCAGTCAATTCTTAGAGCTCTTCAGACTCGCCGAGGAGTTGCCTGCCTCCCCTGGCTGGACTGTGCGGTGCCCTCCAGTGCGATGCTCGCCTCAACAGATCCAAGCCTTCGGCACAACAAGCGCATCCGATAGCCGCAAGCCCCGACCATCCAAGAGCTGTCAAGAAGCGACAACCATCTCCTCAACTTGACAGGCAACAGAGACAGTTTAAATCTCTAGCTTCTATTCAACGCGTCAGTCAGCGCTTTTGCGAGGCTGCGAAGGGTGGAAGACGTGTCTGGCCTCGAACTTACCACTACCAGTGTCAAGGTTCCCGATTTGTTGCTCCTCGTCGGCTTCATTGGGGTTGAGATTGCCGCTTAAAATTATCCCATTTGTCTACAGTCTTCCACCCCTGGATGATCAGGTTGCGTAACGCTGCGGGTACACCCCTCGCAGCTGACCGGGAAGCTGTCTTCCGGGATCGAACCCCAGCAAAAGTCCTGCTCGATTGCGGATTGCGTGCAGTTTGACGGAACACATGTCTGCTTGAGCCGTGTGCTCCAGGCAATATGCTGCCTGCTTCGCGGCGGCCTCAGCTCCGATGTCGGACAGAGCGAAGGGCCTAAAGGCCCTAAGCCCCGAAGGGCATCGGAGTTACTCCTTCTCCGTCCAAGGATTGGGGAACCAAGTCGCCGTGGTATTTACCTTAGCAAGTTGGAAGACGCATCAGGCAGCATCTTCATCTCTGCAACTCCCACCGGACGCTTGAACCATTTCTCGTCCGGCTTGTTCTTCTGCTCTTTGACACGCATGTCTTCTCCTGCGGTTCGCCACGGTCCTCTCATGAGGTGTTGCTTTCAAAGTGCAAGTCCCTTCCCGTGAGGCGCTGGCCTGTGGACCTGTCAGCGCAAGCCGGGAGCCGATGGCGTATTTGTCTTCATTTGTCGGTATTTATGAGTCTGGCAAGAAATCACCTGGGTCATCGTGTTGATGGATGGTTATGTGATCGGATCAAGACATTCTTGACTGATGAGTGGGTTGCTGGCGTGTACATTCTGCAGGCTTGAAATGATGTCGATGTCGTAGTGGTAGAAGCGTTCGGGACTATTTGTGGCTTAAGTGGCGTCTGTCTGGTTCCCTTGACCGAAGGCGGCTTTTGTCCGAATTTCAGGTCCCACCAGCTTCAGTGACTCTCATTTTTCTGATGTGTTCTGCCCCGACCGAGTGCATCCCTGCCTTTGTGTGCTCGCAAGGTCTTTCTGGGCTTGTGGCTTGGGCTGCAGCGGTCCGGCCGCCAGGCCCGATGGAGGGACCAGGAACACAAAGAAGAGCAGGGCCGAGGCTTCCAGCAGAGAAGCCGTGCGATCTGGAAGGTGCTGCCTGCTGCGGCCGGGCTCATCGACGCTTGCGCGCAGCGACCTCGGCCTGATCGCACAGACCTTCGGAACTTGCCAGAAACCTTCTGGGGCTTGCTTGCACGGGCTAAACTCGAGGGTGCCCACTGTGACGGCAGAGCCGTGTGCAAAAGGCTGCTGGTTGTTGCCGGCCTGGTCCTCTTCTTTTTCAAGGTGCAGCAGGGAGTGATTGGGCTGAAGCGTCGGTTGCACAGTTAGACACCTCGCAGTGGCTGCAATGCCAGCTCTGCAGGCTTTCAAAAATTGAGAGCTCCCAATGTGCCAGGTTTCGGCGTGGGAGCATTGGCAACGTCCTCAAGCGAGAAGTTAGTGCCGGAGAGCTGAAGAGCCGTGTCTGCTTCGACTCCCCAAGCTTCCTTGTGCGAAGTGGTAGGCAACTGGTCGCCCGAGGAGGTCCACTGTACTGAAGGAGGGTCGGTTTGTACGACTTGCGGTCTTGACTCTCCCTCTCTCTCTCTACCAGGACAGAGGGGAAAGGCGCACGTCCCCCCCCCCTCATGCGTGGGCGCGCACCTGGGTCTCTCTCTCTCTCTCTCTCCCCGTACGAACACGAAGCGACCACTGCCACAGAAAACAACACACCTGGAGGACATCATGTCTGCTCCTCGAGGCGACCCCAGCAAAGCGAGGCAAAGAGACAGAGAAAGAACGAAACAAACTACCCAGCGAAGACAGTGAACTAGGGGGCGACTTTGTTGTCATACTGTCGTATCTGTCGTACCATGTGGTTTGGTTACGCTTCGCTGGCACATGCATGGGCCTCTACGTACCTCAAAACCGAATTGTACTGACTAGTTGCCATAGGCCCGGTGACGAGGCGGGGATTGTTCAGGTGTTTGGTGTTCGGGGACGGGGGCAAAACCGACCACTAAAAAAACACAGATTGGTGGTCGGGCGGGCCAAGTGCTTGCGCGTCGTACGCGAACCCCTATGCCCGGCAGCAAGACAGAGAACGAACGATAACAATGTCCAAATTTGCGAAGCATCTTTTGCACGCCGGACTCTTGGAGAGAGGTCGCAGTTTCTAGGTCAGTGCATCTGCATTTGTGAATGGTCTGAATGGTTTCGGGAAGCCCGAAGACTGCAGCGGTCTTCCGTTGTCCATACGGCTGCCGTCGTGGTGATGAAATGTGTCGCATGCTGGTCTTGATCCCACGTCGTCGCGGGGCGTTGAAAAAGCTGGTATTGCGGTGCCACTGTGATGGAGAGGGCTCGCTGTCTGGACGTCGCCAACGTGGCATGCAGCATGCATGCTTAGCAGTCTGTTATCAAGTTCCTCTTTCCCTACATGTGTTGTTTTCGCCAAGGCTCGATAACGCTGCATTGCGCTCTGCCTACCTGATGGCTCGGCCCTGAACTCCAAGACATCCTCCAATGCTTTGAGACCTCAGCAAATCCCACAGTTTCGACTGCAGCTCTTCCGAGGTGCTGCAAGTCGTGTCCCTGAGAGTCATGTGGGATCCAGCACCTGGGAAGTGGCGAAGCTGCAAAGAAGTTTTAGGCAGACCCACCTTTGCAGCACCATCCTTGTGTTTCTCCGGTTGGGGCTTGCAAGTCTCAGTTGAGCTAAGGGCGAACGCACTGGAAGTCCCGGCTTCGGTCCTTGCGGCTGGGCACCGGTGCCCAGTGCACTGGCGTGCTGTTTTGCAACTGCACCGCGAAGCCACAATGCACGGTTTTGGGAGCTCAGCTGCTGGACTTGGCTGATGTCGTGTTTCGAAGAGACGTTCCTCAGTCCTTTTGGTTCATCCTTAACGATTAGGCAGCATGGATGCTTTCCAGATCTCCAATCACATCGGCATATCTCGTTTCGCACCGTAGAAATGCTGCGCAGTCGCAAGGCTCGCGCTCGTACCCGTCTTCATTTCACTGCTCTCTGGTGCAAGGTCCTCAGACTGGAATCATCCGAATCATCACGGATTCATCCAACTTCATTGGTCATGGCGGTAGTGTGCGGAGATCGCAGTCACAGTCCAGACCTGATGTCCAAGTGACAGCTGTTTCTGCCAGAAGCAATGTGTTTGCAGACTTCGCACGTCTCTAGGTCTGTCTGGTCGGCGTCGTCTTGGGACGTCTGGAGACGCAGGGCTTGCGCCAGGAGCCTCTGGTAAAGGTCTAGGGCCTAGTCTAGGGCTTGGTGTTTTCAGGCATCCAGGCCCCTCGCGGCAGTTGTTCGAAAGGGTGCTGTGATACCCAGCAGTGGAAGCAAGCCTGAGGCAAAAGTCCCTTGGCCTTAGCAAGTTCGTCGTCGCCAGGATCGTATGCTCCAGATGTCTGTTGCAGGTGCCTTGGCGTGTGAAATCTGAATGACAAGGGAACGTATTGAAGTCTCATTCTCCACCTTTGTCAAAAGATTCGTCTGCTCAGTTCAGCAGGGGTTTGATTTCCCCCCTGTGGCTGAATCCGGCGTGTTTTGCCGGGAACTCCAGGCTGGGCTGATGCAGAGGCGCGAGGAGTCGGGGGCTTTGCTTTTGAGGTGGGAGCACGCATGTCTTCCTCTAGGATCGGCGTGGATGGGGTGGCTCCTGCGGTTGCCCTTGGCTAGTCGAACTTACCGGAGTGCACCTCTCCGGCCCAAGGGTCCGGGCTTCTCCGGCTGCACCGCGGTTCCGCACTTCCCTCGAGGCACGAGCTTCAAGACTTTTTCCCGTGGATCAAGAGAGAGTGACGATGCACAGGCGACCCACAGGATGTGGAGGTCATCCTGCCGGGCTCAAAGAAGGCCGGTGGAAGGAGGGGCCCTTTTGAAGCTGCTCGCTTGCAAGCGACGCGACCTTCAATGTAGCCCCAAGCCCAACGAGCGTCTGAGGTGATGCTGCCAAAAGATCAGGTGAGTGAGAAGGCTTAGAGAATTCTAAGCTGGAATGTTGCTCACGGCGGGAAAAAATCTAGAAGGACAAAGACCACAGGCGCCGCTGCAGCATCAGCAGCCAATCAAGCCGACTGATAATTTGAGCCAACACCGTTGATCAAGCGAACAATCAAACAATACATCTACAACTCGGCAAGGATACAGCGCACAGGACGAATACTTTCAACACCAAGCTCTGGAGGATCGGAGACAGGAGAAAGCACTGTCGACGGCACAGATTGAACAAAGAGCATCATGACGGGAATGGCTAGCAGTTTGTCCAGACCCGCATGTACAGGCCTTCGCGATTCTTCTGCCGGCGCGATCGCGGATAAGGCCATGTATTTGTGAGTGTTTTTAAGTTAATTCGCCTTCCGCAGCCAGGGTGTCCAGTTCGTGTCACATATATACTACTCGTACCATCCCGTGACAGTTCGGTTGGCTCTACGGAAAGAGAGGCTAGTGGGTTCGGTCTCAAGATGGGTGGAGAATGCTCCTTTGCAGTGTGCCAGGAAAACATGCTCCGTATTATATCGTATTAATTATAGTCGGTCTGAGCATCTATCACGACAACATCTTTGCTGGAGCACCACGTGCAGATATTCTGAAAGCAAAGGTCCTTTTCGCGTTAGTCGCCTGTCTCTGGACGGCTCCTGAGAAGAACTGAGTCCTTGATGTCCGCTTTTTGCTCTCTCCTCGGTTTATGAGGGCCAAGAGCCACGAGCCAGGATCCAGCACTTCCAGCTCCTGCCGCCCGCCACGCGTGGTGCTGGCGCTCAGGCCTTGCTGTGCGGGACCTACTTGTAGTTCTGTGTGAGGAGAGAAGCCGACTGGCTGCGTGTAGGTGTTTCGCTTTCGCACTGGATCACTGTCTGTTGGAATGGCCTGCACACCGCCTATGCGGCGAATTCTGTCTCTTATTTCAGCTAGCTGGTGTTATCGAGGGCACTTTTTCTTTGTCCGTCGTGGCAGCCTTGAGGCTGTTCGCACGCACGCTTGTGGAAGCGATTGGTGGCATGTTGCAGCTTCCGTTGCATGGTGACCCTCGTCGACAACCGCAGTCCGAGTCTGGACGTAAACTGAAACCACAATGGGCTGTAATTTTTGTTTCTGGTGTACCAGCGCACACATAACACAAGACGGAGCGGAGCGGACGCCAACCCCCCTAGTGTAGTAGAGGACGGCGCCACCAAGAACACCAACAGTGGAACTACGGATCGCCGCAAGACACGGCTGTTCGTAAGCACCGCATCTGAGGTTCAGGCTTGCTGGACTTGTGTCACTGGTGATAAATCTTTGCAGGATTCTTCCGAGGAGTCGACTTGCTGAAGTTTCGTTGCAGCCTCTCTGTCAGGCTTTTTGAAGACTCATACCTTTCAGATGCCACCTCTTAGCCATGACAGGAACACTTAGACACCTCGTTTAAACAGCACGTAACACAAGTGTGTGCCTTTGCCATTTGGGTCAAGATCACATCGAATCTTTTTCCTGCCATTCAATCTGCGTGTGATCATGCCCACATAAGTCAAATTTTCTTTGGCCACAAGTTGTGGCGACAAACAAGTAGAGGACCGTTCGACCAGTTGAAACAATGCCTCCTGCGGTTGCTCATGGCGCGCTTGGGGAGTGGACGATGATTTTTTGTGTGAATCTTCGTAGCTTCGCTTTCGGACTGCAAATGCTCCCGGCTCTTCCGAGGCCGCCGGGCGGCGACGGCGATCGTCCTCGTTTGTGGAAGCCCCGACGCACTGCGCATGTGAGCTTTCAGAGTTGCAGGGTTCCCTGTGGCGCCGCCCAGGCCACTTCCACCATGGCTGCACTCTTAGTCCCAGAAATGGGGAATTCTGCGTTCGCATTTTGCGGATCACGTGATCAGCGATTCTCCAGGTTTCTGTTCCCCGTGGAGGGCAAAGCGACCGTGGCTGAGGTGCGTTCCTCGTGAAGTTCCTTCTCTCAACCGCATCTGAAGACGCAACTGTTGTGTAGTGCATTCATGCACGTAGGAACAAACACATGCGGTCGGCCGAAGCATCCCGGCTCGACCACCCAGCCTTTTGCCTCTCGTTGCATCATGGCTTCGTCCGGTTCGTCTGCGCCTGACGTCATTGAGGCTGCCTTCGCCGCTGACTTTGCGGCTGCAGCGGGCGTGGATCTGGTTGTGGCGCCTACTAAGCCGACATCGGTGCCTACTACTACTTCGCCGGACGAGCGGCCCACGACGGGTGTTGAGGGGAACGGGCGGCATGGCCGACGGCACCTACATCGCCTTCTTGGGGCATGGCCCGTTTGGACCCATTTGCCTTTCCCGATGCGGCGGGCGAGATCTGCATTCGCACCTTCATCGCCGGGGCGTCGGTGGAGGTGCTCATCGTTTGTTGCCATCAGGGCGTTGTCAGAGACCGCCTCTCCGTGGCACATGGGGCCTCCACTGCCAGCAGAGGTGCGGCCATGCTGGCAGGCGGCGACTACGACTACGGCCCGTCCCGCCTGACGCTGATCGACGATTTGCTCATATTTGCTCGCCACTCGGGAGGCGGCTGCGCTGTGGGCCGCACACAGCTGCGACCTGTTGCGCCACGACAGCTCGGCGGCAGCAGCCCCTGTCGGGAATGCGACATTCCTTGGCCTCTTGGCCATGTCTGGAGGGCGTCTTGGTGGCGCCACGACCTGGCTCGCATCAGGCAGGACGCCTTCAGGGAGGTGAAGGCGGACTGCATGATGGGCGCTACGTGGGTCTCGATGGAAAGCCCGGCCTATGGGGCGGCCAAGAAGGCCTCTCGCCTGCAGTCGGCCGGGCACACTCAGGCGCTACACGAGTCCGTCCCTGCGCGACCCTCGACCACGGGTCGTTGAAGACGTCGGCCTCCGATGTGCCCACCCATCACTTAATCACACTTTCTGGGCGACATCGTCGACCTCATACGGTGGGCTTGGGCGGAAGGTTGGGGGTCGATGGTCTTCGGCCACGACCTCCAGAGCCGTCAAGCACCCAGGCCACTGCGGGACCTCCCTGACCGGTGTCGCTTTGTGGTTCTCGTCCGGGCGATCCTGCTGGTTCTCCTTGGCCACTTCGTCGACGACACGGCACTGAGGACGCACCCATCTCCGACGAGGCCCACTACGCAGTCGCTGACTTTTTCACCTTGCTTTCCATGACTAAGCCTTCCAAGGCACGGGCTGGCAAAGATCACGTGGTCCAGGGCGTCGCTCCTTGGAACCTGAGAAGGTTCGCACTGCGGCCCAGTGCAAAGCGCCAGGCCCGCATTTTGGCTCAGATTCAGGAGGCCTGGCTTCGCGCCTGGCCTGGCGGGGGCCGCCTTGCATTCTTGTCCAAGGCTACCTTTGGTTGCACGGGTGGGGGGCCATCAAGCTGCTCTCTTCCAGGGCGGCGTACACGGCAGATGACGCACTGTCTCTTGGCTTGAGGGCCGCGCTTCCTGGACGGCCCCACATGGGGCCCGGTGGCAGAACGGCTGGGGCTTGGTCCCGTTCTTCGACGGCCAGGTCTTCTACGACTTCGGCGTCATCAAACCCAAGCGGAGATCGTCGCCCAGGTCTTGCCTCTCTTCACATTCGCCGGCCGCCTGCCCCACCTTGGATCGCCTTCATCGACAATGTCGCTGGGCAGTTCGCCTTCATGAAGGGCTACAGCAAGGATCCCTCAGTCAACAGATTCTCGCCCTGGGGCTTGGCAGCTGATCGCCAGTGGTCGCCGGAGTTCTACCGGGTTCCCTCGATGGCGAACGTCTCGGACGTGGGTGTCGATGAGGCTATTATGCAGGTCCTCGGCGAGGCGGCTGCCAACGTTGACTTTGCCTGTCATGGCGCGCCTGAGAGACTGCTTGATCTTGCCCTTTGGTCGGTGCCGGCGCCTGCTGCGGTGTGCACAGAAGTGCCCACCCCGGCACCGGCACCGAGTTTTCGGGCGGTGTGTCCGGCAGGGTGCGTCTTTTAATTGACTTCGTCTGACTATTGGCCGGCACTCGCCTCCTCAGGGGGTGCTCGGGACGGGCACAGAAGTGCGCACCCCGGCACCGGCACCGCCCGGCACCGGCACGCCCGGCCGGGCGCTGTCTGCGCTACGACCAAAGCGGGGCCACTGCATCTTTAGTAGGAGTTTTGGCTAACACGCCGTTAACTAAGCGTTTGTTTCACGCTTTTCTCGGCAAGGTCTCCAAAGCACCCCCCGGGGTGGTTCCCCTGGCAGCGCTTCTGTCGTCGAAGCCTTAGTTCGGAAATGTTCAGAGTTGCTTCAGACCGAACACAGCACAGAATTGAGTCAGGGCCGCCTAGAGGCACTTTTGTTACGCTTGTGGCTGGTGCTGCTGGTGCAGACTCGAAACACCCAAAGTTTGAACGCTTAATTTGGGAAGTGTTGCTGCTAGTGCCGGCAGGTGTGCACGGGCTAAAGCCAAGAGGGTTCCCGCAAACTTGGACAAGATTTCGAACCTCCGGCGGAGCAGGCGTCTCTCAGCCCTCAACCCGGGCCCCGCTACCGTGAGCCCTCAACCTTGGAACCGTGAGCCCTCACCGACTCACCGAGATTGCAACTTGATTTGTGTCACTGGATGTGTCCAGGCCGAAGGCTGTGCCCGAACCTAGGCCTGGCCGCCCTGGCACGCTCATCTACGCGGAGGCCTGGCGCTGGCGCTGGTTTTCGGGGTCAGCACGAGCCGACAAGATGTTCATCGGACTCTGCAGGTGGCACGACACCCTTTGATTCCATGTGTAGCGGCAGCACTGCACTCCGCCGACAGGGTCAAGGTTCACGCTAGCTTGCCTCGGCCAGGCCTGTCACAACAGAGGCGATGTAGAGTGGCAGCAGGCCAGGCACGGCTAAACTTTACAGCTGTGGGGAGGCATGTGAGGTTTCCTGCCGTGGTCAAGCAAGCGAGAGCATGAGCAGTGCTTGGACAGAACTCCGCGCAACCGGCTCAACCGTAAGATCCAAGATGCAGGCCGTGCTGGGCTTCTTCCGCGACGAGGGCAGCGGCACCCCCAGTGCAAAGGGGGACTATTGCCGGCGCGGAATGCACCTTTGCCCAGCTAGGTTAATTGTTGAATGCCCCATTTCGGTGAATTTCAGACATTGCAGTTGCAGGTGCTCTCGCCGACGAGGTAGCGTTAGTGTGGCTGCATGATTTCAAAATCTCAAGAAAGGTTTGCTCACATAGAGAGGCTTGCGAGTTGGTAGCCCGCCAGCCCCAGCAGCTGTGCCTTGCAGGCACTGTGCCACATCGCTGCGGCACAGGAGGGCATGCCGAGCAGAGATGTTAGTCCGAGATCATGGCTCCATGCCTAGATCCACTCTTCTGATGCAAAAGCTGCTGACTCCAATCAGGACGACGCTCGTTTGCAGCCCTGCCTGGTGGTGGTGGAGGCCAAGGTTTTTCAGGTTTGTTCTGGTGCATGGGGCTTCGTGCAAGGCTCAGGTTGCGCAGCTTGGGTTTTGTGCAGTGGCAGGAAAAGTAGCTAAGTAGCTTTCCTGGCGAGGTGCTGCCATCGTTGGCTTCCGCACCTTGGCCTTCCGCACTGGTACGAGACATAGCTCGGTAGACAGGAGCTTTGGAGCTTCCTTGAACTGAGGAATTCATGGACGAGAGATGCCAGCTGCCCGAGGATGTGTGATACAAGAAAGTGCACTTTCGAGCTGTGCAGTCGGCATGCTTATGTCGCAGAAGCTTTGGCGCTGTATGAAGGCCTTTGCAAATTTTCTGAGCGAATCTCGGGTGTGTTTGGCTCGAGCTCTTGTGCTTACCGCACAATCAAGCTTGGGGCATGCGTGGACCTTACTTTACCGTTTCACTGTTTTGGAGCTGTTTTTGGAGCCGCCGCACGAAATCTCTAGTGGAGAGGTGTGTGACGCTATGGACCGTCAGGGCCGTGGCCCAAGCTGAGCCAAAGCCTGGCCCGTGAACTGTGTGCGTTACCCCGACTCTAACGCGTCTTGGGAGGTAGTGCTGCTCTTGACAGCCGGCGTGACCTCCGGTGAGGAGGCAAAAGGGGAGGCCGGGCACCGCAGACTGAATGGCTCCGCCAGAGTTTGCTCTTGCTCTCTCTCTCTCTCTCTCTCTCTCTCTCTCTCTCTCTCTCTTTCTTTGTCTTTTTTGTTCGTGGTTTTTTGGTCGGAGGCCGCTCCTCGTCGGCTGCAGACCTCGCAGCAATGCAGGCGCTGCCGTACTCGAGCTGGGCACTTGTCGCACCGCTGCTTCTGGGGGTTCCAAAAGGCGGTTAGCTTGCGTCGGACACCCTTCCTTCGACTTGGAATCGAACGAGCCCTGACATCCCGAACTTAAAGCACTGGAGATTTGAGGCCCACCGAAAGGCTGAAACGCTGAATGATCATGAATGATCTGCGATTTTGTCAGGATAGACCTCGAAGACATGCTGAGAGATCCGTCGGCTCCTCGGATGGGTCCGCACAGTCCCAGGCTTTTGAATGCTCCTTTCGCACGAAGGGATGCAACGTGTGTTTGAGACTTCGAGAGACGGCTTAAGCATCTTCAGCCAAGGAATTGGGACTACGTGAATAACTCTGCCACGCGCTGGCCGCTGGCTTAGCTCATATTTACACAGTTGCTGGTATACGCAAGCCTGTTGGATTCGTCGGCGCGGTGGAGCTACAAGTACGTTCCTGCAAAATATCCTGGTGAGCACTGGCCTGTGCCTCCAAGCCAGTCGAGTTTTCAAACACGCATGCCGTCATAGCTGCATGTGCATGGTTCCACCAAGCTGTGCTGCTCGCAACAAGGACACGAATCTTGAGAGCCCACACTCGCCAGACCGCGGGGCTGGTGGGCATGGACGTGGGTTCATGATCTGCAGCTTGCCCGGTCCGAGGTGTCGTCTGCGGCTGGAGAACGAGATGGCCAGCTGCTGCAGGCCTTGGCGTTCGGCGTTTCGGGGTTGGGCCAGGTCCACAACTGCATAGTCAGTAAGTTTTCTAGTCACAACATAGTTACCCTAAACCAGAAGGTTGGAACATGGACGAGGAACAGATTGGAACGAAGACTCCCTGTGCTTTACCTTCAGGGCATCAGGATCACGATGTTCCATCTTTCTAGCTTCTTCTCTACGGTGTTATATAACTCAGGCCTGCCACTATTCTGCAGATTCAGGCCTCGCGTGCCTCCAACCGGTGCTCATGGTGCAAATCATTTGCTTTCAGGAAACGCAAAAAAAGAGCTGACATTGCAAGTAGCTGCTGGTTTTCTTCCAGAGCGTATGCAGGCAATTCTTTGGGATGGTGTCTTGTCCCTGATACAGAGCACTGAGCGGAGCAATTTTGGCAAGCCTGAAGGATCTGAAGGAGCACCACAGCCGACTAAGGTTTGAACCCAACCTCCTTAGCTCTCAAATTGAGACCCCAGCGAGGGTCGCCAACTTCGCGGAGGGCAAGGGCGAAGACTGTTCTAAGCCGGGCAACCCGGAACGTGCCTTTCGTGGGAGGTTCGCATGTCGCCGGCCTGCGAGTGGCTGCAGTGCATGTGGCCTGCTAGGCATAGGCCATAGGCTTTAATCTCGGGTGTTCTTGTGATCCTTCGACTGCGGGGAAGCGTTGCCGTAGGGCTAGCAATCTACGGAAGGGTTCAGTGATCCAACAATTCCAGCGGCATCCAGTCGGCCCCGACGCGACACCAAGCCCAGTTGCGTGGCCAATTGCCTCCACCAGAACATGATCACGCTCTGCAACCAAAACTTTGGTCAGGCTGGACAGAGCTTCGGAGTCCCAACCGCATGCAGACCTTTGGTGGCTTCAACACCCCGAAGACGCACAGAAGCATGTCTAGATCTGCTGCTAGACCTTTAACAACTCGGGCGAGCAATTTGAGAATGTGCATCCGCATCATCACTGTGGCCGCTGGCAGGCTTGCATTGTAAAGCGGAAGCCCTTCTTCCGGACCGGTGCGCCCGATGTCGAGGCCTGGTGCGGGCAGGTCTAGAGGGAAGATTCTGAAGCTGGATTGCCGTGGCGAAGTCCAGAAGCTGGCCGCTGGGTCGAGACACATGGTCCCCTTGGCCTTGTGCTAGCGGCTGCATGACCGCGTATGACGCCTTCATGACATACTCGCATCACGCTGTTCTATCTTTCTAATCCGCGAACTAGAAGCGATCACACTTCAAAGCTGCAGCAAACGTGCTCGTGTCGGATTTCCAAGTCGTCAGCCATGTCTTGATGTGCTCGGGGCATTGAGCCAAATATCCGAAAGTTCCAGGTGCAAGAAACCTTTTGTGTTCCGGCCGCCTGCAACAACGGCGCCGACAGGCCCGTGTGTTTCTTGCCCTTCCAGGCCTCTCATATCTGTACCCACTGTCATTGCCAAGGGATGCCTTTATAGCCTGGTATGCCGCGATCTACGCCTGGGGCCTGGCGGAAGCGATACCACAGAATGCACCGGAGGGAAGCAAGTGCGATCTTTGATTTCCCGTCGCATAAAAAGGTGGGGAGAAGAAACGGCTGGCATTTGGATTATGATGAGGCTGGGATAATGCCGTCTCTACCTGCCCTGTTTGGATCCATCCAAAGCCTAAATGCCTTCCTTCGCTTGACGTTGAGCAAGGCAAGTGACTCCCGAGCAAGGCAACTGAGCCGAAGCTCCATGACATCACCCCACATGCGTGGTGAGGCTGTGCTGGAGTGCCCCAGTGGTGTAGTCACCGCTATCATCAGCCGCTGCCCCAATGGCAAAATGATGCAGTTGTTGTTGTTGAACTTGAACATGCGGTCCTTCAATCGAATCCGTACATGGTTTTTGCCGAGTTACCGTGGTGGTGATTGCTGCCGCCTGAGCACGGAGATGGAGTGGTTCGTGATCCACATGTCAGACAAGAGCTGAGGTGTGCATCGTAGCCTGCATACCCATCTCCATCTTCCTCTTCAAGCACATGCCTCAGCAGCGTGTGTGATTTGGTACCTGGCATCTTCAACCTCCTGGGATAGTGCAAGAAGAGTCGGTGGAAGGAGCAGGCGACGGAGTAACTCACAGACTTTGGCAGCTTCACCTCGTGCTTCACCCACTGTTTCTGCCAGGGCACCGAAGGAACGCGGACGCACCCTCATCTCGCAAGAACAGATGCAGGCCCGGCCATCACCTTCCTTGCCTGCGAGCCCTGACTGCACATCGATGCCCCTTCCGTGCTCGAGTCTGCAGACCTGAGTATTCAGTTTGTCTGTCGTCCGCTTGGATCCGCTGTAGCGGGTGGTAGCCGGTAGCCATGCCGAATAGGAAACCCACGCAGTCGTCCAGTCAGGCCGAGTCCATGCGTGCAGAGGAGGACACCTGGGAAACTCAATCTGGCAGGTGCAGGGTTTTGGTGGGTTACATCTGTTTCCGCTCAGAGCTGCTAAATATCCCGCTTGTCCTCTGCATCCCGGCGAACGCAATGCCAGGACTCTGCTAGGATAGTAGCTGCCTACCATGGATGGCAGTAGGGCCCTATGCCTTTCCGAATGACTCCCGCGGATAGATATGCATGGCACCGCGTCGCCGCGTCGAACCCCATACCCACACACAGGCATTCTGTGGCATTTGTTCCATGGAAGCGTAGCCTTGCAATGTGAAGGCTTTCATTATACTGCTGCTTAAAGAATTCCAATGTGCATGATCCCGAGGTTTGCGAGGTTTGATTGGAGATTCGAGAAGCTACGCAGCATTAAGAACAGTTAGAAGATACCGAGGTCAACAACTGAGTCAGCATGCAAAAAAGGCGTAGCACAGGCCTCAAATGCTCAATCTACAGCCGTTCTGATTGTCCCCCAAGCTCCAAATGCGGTTGGAACGTGGAGCAAAAAGCTACTTTACTATGCATCAAAGGCAACCAACACACGGGGAACAACAAAGGGACGGGGTCCACTACTTCATTGCCGGTCAGGAGGTGAGCGAGGCTGTGAGGGTGGAGTGTCGATAGGTCAATATGGACTAATGCAGTCAAACTACGAAAGACTTGTGCAGCAGGTTTTACTATTCACGAAACGTCAAGATACCCTGACGTTTCACATATAGAAAATGACAGCTTGCCTCCTCTTACCAGGCATGCGCCAGCAGATGCAGCGCTACCTCTCCTTGAAAAGCCTCTCCAGTTACACCCCAAAAAAATCTAAGCACGGCTTGGCTCGGCCTCGCCCTGGCTTTGGTGCAGCTGTAAACCCGGTAGACATGCAGTATTGACCCAAGGAAGGCAGTGTTAAAACTGGCTTGGCTTGGACTCGTTTCGGGGTTGGGGGGATGTGGGCGGCTCCCAGCACTTGGTTCAGTGAAAGATCTGAGTAACAAAACAGCATGCATCCTCTCACTGTACAGCTGCCCCCAAAAAGCATGGTTTGGTTTGGCTTGGCTTGGGCTCTGTAGCTTCGGGACATCATGAAAAGACGGGCGGCCAATGACTGTCTCGGGACATGGGCTAGGAAGAGCAAATAAAAGCCGTTGGCGTGAGGGTAGGGGTCTGCGCTGCAGGGTGTCCGCCCTCACCTAGCCCTTCTTTCTGAAGCTTCTCGACTCTACCATCATCTCACCTTTGCCCATCCTGTGCGACCCGATGCGAGGACATGGATGCCAGTCTGCGTGGCGCCGGCGCAGGCGGGATGGCATTGCGGATTGCGAGAGGACCTCACAGGGTCATTGATCCATCAAGCCAACCCCTTGTGCCGCATCCATATCCAAGTTCGAAAGCAGCCTGAATCTTCATAAACGGCCTAAACGTATCACGATGTTGCAGAGCCAGAACGCGGAGTTGAAAGACCACACCTCATGCAACAGATCATGCAGCAGGACTTGCTACAAGATTTAACAGGACACACTAGACTCCAGTGGTCTGTCCGCAAGAAGTCTCAGCTGACATGTGCAGTACAGGCGGCGACACACTTGGGAGTTCCGGAATGGGCGCCACCCGCTAGTCTACCCAGCTCGGGCCTGCAGCGGGCGTCTTGCATGAGACTTTCCAAGCAGCTGGTCAAGCTTGTCGTGGGTCGAGGCTTAGAGCATCGCTGCACGGTACGCATACACTTAACGAAGGACACACAAAGGCCTGAGCTGCCATCTCACAGCAGGCGGAGCCGGGATCCAGCTCCCAAGAGCCCAAAGCTCAAAGGCGGTCGCAAGTTTCACCGGGATGCCGTTGCATACGTGTCACAAGTGCATGATCGAAAGTGTGTGCGGCCTGCTAGTGCTGCCAGACTAGCCGCCAGTCCCCCCTCCCAGGAAGCTGCTCAGCCTCCAATCTGCAGCTGCCCGTTTTTGCTTGAGGTAGCGCCAGCTGAGATGATTTCATGGGCTGTCAATGTCGGTACTGGGCTCTCTTGAGACGGTCAGATTGAGGGTAAAGAGTAACTGGCACTGGCCGCTCCGTTTCCTCCGGCGCTCCGTTTTTCCATGGGCGTGTGACGCCATGGCCGTGGAGCCTACTGGGCCTATCTCCCAGAAGAACCCAGGCCAGAACAGCCGCGAACCGCTTCCTCACCGCACTGCTTCTGTGATCGTCTGTCGATTCTATCCGTGGCTGCAACGCAGACTTTTCTGCAAGCGCAGTTGCTTTTTGATGCGACGCTTTCAGGTTCCACACGCCGTGTGCACAACTCCGGAGTGCAGGATGACAAGGGCGGCTGTGCAGATTGGTAAGGGTAGGCCATCGAGCTGCTCAGCAAGTTCAGTATTCCGTGGCCTGTTTGGCGGCACGAAAATTGCATCTGCCCCGCATCTTCGGCGGGCAGGAAACGCTTCCGCCTGTGTTGCTTGGGCGGCTGCATCTGACTGGGACTGAGAGGGTGGAGTGCAGCCATTCGCTTCTGTGATTCGGGCTGTTTTGAGAGGTGCCATGAAGCACTGATAGAACAGGCAAGCAAACTGTTTCGATGAGTGCCTGATCGCCACACGAAGGTCCCGACCATCCCATGTGCCGCACATCGTCAACAAGGCAGCTGCTTCGAAGCTGAAGCTTGCTTCAGGGACGCGCTGCAATACATCCCATTCCCACGCATCGATCTGGTCATTCGTAGCATCCCATGCGGACGAGGCCTCCGACGGCGTGACCTCTGAGAGGCTATGGCTGAACCGTGGCTGTTTGAGGGCTTCCGTGAAAAGGAGTTCCAGATGAAATGAAGGTTTCAGGGATGCACTTCGATCTTAGTCGGCTGCATTCAGTGCATGACTCGATCGGCTGAGCATAGGCTTGTGCCGGTCAATTCCCGCTGCAGGATGTGAATGCGTGAAATAAGTCATGCGAGTAGAAAGAATTGGAATTCCAAATCCCCCACCCTGCGAGCTTCTGCTGGTGGGCCACGGCAATAAGCCACCACCACACTGAGCAGGTCCGCCGGCTGAAGTCCCACAAAATGTCATGCACCTGCCAGGGCCGCTGCTTCCGAGCCTCCTTTGAGCGCCAGGCTCGTGGGGGAGTGCTCTGCAGTTCTGGCAGGGATTGAAAAGCGGGCTGGGTCGTCGCAAGGCACAGATGGGAAGACAAACATGTCCGTAGCGAGACCGTGAGAGTCTTGCAACGCAAATCTCCCAACATGACAGCAGAACCCACCATTGCCATGCCCAACAGCAGAATGCGGTGGAGTCAGCAGGAAGCCGCTACTTGCAGCCGCCGGTGCTGCAGCCGCCACTCCTCGCGCACTCTCTAGCCGGGCCACCTCACGCGGTGTTGCTGGCGAGAGTTCGTCGACTTTAGGATCCTGGCTCTGTCTGCCTCAGACCAGGCAGGCTTCCCTTTAAAAATTGCTGTCCAGGCAGTGCCGGCAGCGTAACAGCAACAGGGCAAGGAGCTGAGATGTGCAAAGAGCCTGCAAGGTTGCTCTTCAATACGACAGATGATGGACTGATGCGAGCTAGTTGAAGTTTATTGAAAGAAGTGAAGAGCGAAGGTGTTCACCCTATTCTCCGAGAGTACAAGATCGCTGCTGTGCTTCCGAAGTGAGCTCGCAAGGTCCACCCTGCACGAGGCCAAAGGGTGGGGAGAATGGTGCAGTGTGAGCTGCACGGCAGCTGTCGCACACATGTAGAAAGGTCGGTACAGGACCATAAGATCCGCGCAGTGCAGCAGTGTTTTGCGGGATTTTTGAAAACTGACCACTTCAACCCGAAGTGTGTTCTGCTTGTGCCGGCTCCATCTGTTTATTGATGTTTATTGAGTTAAAACCAGGGCCTTTGATGCACATCGAAACCCGGCACACATGAGACCGGGCTTTACACTTTCATTGTGGAATGTGCGAATGGTTGATTTTCATGCAAACGCACTGTCTCCCGTGCTTCAACCCGTGCTGGCCGCAGGACCACAAGCCGAAGCATTTCACCGCGTGGACTCAGCCGGGTGCTCGGTGGATCTCAGTGGTGTGCCATCAACTTTGCATATTGCGGCCCTGGAGGTCAAGTTTAAATGCAGACTCCGACGCACCTGCATCTCCCTTGAAGACCTTCGCGCCACTGTCCTGCCTAAGGCTCCGGACGAGAGAGCACGAGACTCAGGCAGCGATGTCTTCAACACGTTTGGGATCAGCACTCCGAGGCATCAGACATGAATCACAATCCCAACCCTGCGGCACTACACTGGCTTCTAGATGGTCGCCTGCAAATGTGCGCAAGCTCCCCTCTAAGTGAATCGGTGTTCCTGCTTCGCCATGCCTCAATCTCAGGGCTCCTCAATGAAGTAAGGTAGGTTCTGTCGCCAAGATATACTGAAGTTTCGCGACGCAATCGGAATGCACAAACGTGGGGAACGTCAGCTGAGAACGTCCGCAGATACAGCATGGCTTTTCGTGGGCCCACACCTGGACCAGCGACCGGCGGCCTTACCTGCGGCCTCGCCGACCTCCTCCACAAAGAAACGGCACCAAACTGTGTGGGCTTTGAAGTTCCGAGGTTGGCACCGATGCCAGACGTCGAGGAGCTTCTGGCCACTCGGCTTTGGGGTTCTATGGCCAGGGCATATTCTGGCTTGAAATTTTTCTCGGAAAGAGGAGCACTCCAGAGAGACTCCGGTTCGTGAGCAGTTTCCATTAAAACATTCAACAACAATTCACAAGCATTGTGCACTATCCTCCTCGCCCGAAGTCTCCCTGACAGAGGGCATCGGTCCCGCCGTGTCCTTTGGCCACGGTCTGCTGTGGCAGCTGCCTTGGACTGTTTTGAAGAGTGGCTCCTTTTTGGTTTGGCATCTGTCTGCGCGAGAGGCATGTTCTTCTTGAGTCAAATAGGGTGCAGATTGAGATCGGGGCTGCCGGAGCTTGTCACATTTTTCAACCACGCATGTGTCTCGTATCCGGGATATGCATCGGATGTTGGAGAGCAGCTGTAGTCATCGTGGTAACCGCCAACAACAGAATGCAGCCCCGAAGTGGAAAACCAGTGAAGCCGGAGACTCAAAGCCAAAGCCCTTCTAAGCAGGCCTGGGACTTTCCAGCAGTACGCCATCGGCTGGATGCCAGGGATGAGCCTCACAGGACTGGGCCTCGGAGCCCTTGGACATCCCCACAGCCTCTTTTAGGGCCAAGCCGGGAAAGCTGCCTCGCGACCCCGAGACCTAGCGGGCTATCCCGAAGCCCGCACATCTCCAAGAGAGCAAGCCAAGGTGCTTGCCTCGGGGTCGCCGAGTTCGGCCGGCTGCTTCGGGAAAACCACGTGATCCTCGACTACGCCTCGCCAGGGGCTCGGATCCTGATAGTCGGTTGCTTATGTTGCTTCAGGAGAGTGTAGCGGAGTGAAGAAGAGTCATCCGATCCACACGGCCAAGCGCGGCCCAGCTGCTGTTTGGAACCTTCCGCCCAGCCGCCCAGCAATGCCCCATGCCCTCAACACGTTTTGCCTCGTGCACCAGCCTGAAGTCACTGTATGGCAAGTTCTTCTTCGCGAAGGCGTTGCCGCATCCTCGAGCTTGCCGTCGGGAGGGGTGCCCAAATCATTGTCGGGGCCGCAGCGGCGCTTTTTGGAAATGTATTAATCGTAGAGTCTGTGAAGACGTGCCGCTCGTTTGGTGTCATTCATCAGCGAGTTTTGAACATGATGTCAACACTCAGACTACTTGAATCAAGTTTTCAGCTAGATTCAGCTAGATATTCATGCCTTGCTGCACATCTCCCCACAGCTGCGAGGATTTCCCTGCACTTCTCAGCTTCGTTGAGGCAGTCGCATCCACAACTTGATAGTGGGGTGAGGCCTCAAAGTTGTTGCTGTGCTACTGCTTGACGTCGGGCTCGGAGTCTGTGCAGTCTCGTCGTATGCAACACCTGAAATCTCATGATATCCCACATCGGGACTCGGTCAGGCCACGGCGCGTAGTGTCACCTTGGCGGAGGCGAGGGGCCACATGTTCCAGCAACCTGTCCTCCGCGGGGGGAGTAGTAGTCGGAAGCTTCCCCCCATGAGGATCTTCGGGCTTCGGGTGGCCCCCGTCGAGGGCGGCGGAAGCGTGTGCGGCAGCCGGAGAAGGCGACTCCACTTCTGCTAGCTGTCACCCCAAGCTTCTGCTTGACCGGTGCTCGTGCCTGAACTGTCCCAGCCGGCCATGTTTTGTGGCTGGCAGATAGAGTTTTAGTAGAGTTTTCAGCTGCAGAGCGTAGCTGCCACCATTGTGCCATGCCGCGTCCGCGACGCACCGGTCGGGGTTTGATCAGTCTCGACGAATGGTACTTTGTCTCGGAGGCAGGGACCGGATGTGCATTTCTGCTTCAACTGTGAAATGTAGCAAGCAGCTCTAGCATGGCATCTCATCATTTGAAGGCGAAGGAGGTGAATGAAGCGGCAGAGAAGGCATACCACCAGATTGAGAGCAATCCCATGCGTGCATGTGTGTTGGAAGTGGACGGTGAGAATTTGCACTTCTGCCTGGAACCCAAGGAGGCGGGCAGTTGTTCGTTCTGCATAGCATCGCGATATGTGCGACACTATGCGACAGTGTGCGAAAGCTTCGAAGCTTTGCTTCTGCTTCAGCAAGGTGACCAACAGAGGCGAGGTGGAAGACTGCGCTGGCAATTTATCTGGCATGTGCAGGGCATGCACGGAGCGAATTTCGAAGTTCGCGCAGCTGCTCGACTGGATTCAGCCGGGGCCAGAACCCTTGATCCTTGGAGTCCAGCTGTTCGCGTTGAAACTGCCCTGATCGTTCTTGAGACCGTCAATGCGAGGCTGCTCGGCGAAGAGGGGATGTACGTCGCCTTCAATCAGGAAGTCTGTTCTGGATGTTGTGTCTTCAGGAAATGATTAGAAGAGGCCCGTCATAGTGTCCTGAAGCATGGAGTCTGTGCGCGCGCTTAGATGCACCAGGAAGTCACTGAGAAGAACGTGGATGGAATCCGTTCCTGGGACAGAAATCGCTTGTCCAGTCGCCTTCTTTCTCTTGGTTTCTGACGACTGTGGCTCTATCCTTGCCTGTCTCCGGGCCTTCGCAGCGCCTCTGAAAGCTCGTTGTCTCGAACTTGTCTTTAGCTTTGCTCAGAGCTTGCGCTGCGCACACCCTTGCCAGCTCTGCTGCAAGCCCAGGAGCCAATCGTGACCAGCAGGAGCGCAGCCCGGAAGTGTCAGCATATAACTTCATCGTCGTGGACCGCGAGTTGCTTGCACAGGCAACTAACAAGCTCCAGGTTCGAGGATGTTCGAGGCCAGTCGAGGTTTGAGGCGAGATGTAGAGGCTGCGAGGTGTCGGCCCACGGTGAGGGGGAATGCTTTGGTTTGTCGAGGTCTGGGAGGCGACTTTCAGGAGTTTCAGGGTTAGCCTCTTACATGCGAAGCAATAACACATTGTCCTTCGGCAGCCTGAACAGCTTAGGTTCGCGATGAGGTATCCTACGCTCCAGGGCGGTTTTCAGCATGTGCACTTCACTTTCGAAGACCTCACGCCTCCTCACGTGGCAGCGAAGATCAAGCAGCTGTCCAACTACATGAACGGCTCCTTTGACAATCGTTGCTGGGCTACACAACTGTGTCAGGAACTTGCGGCATGTTATTTATGTTGTCCACTGCTCGAGCATTTTTAGGCTTCCAGAAGCTGATCGACGACCCGGCTTCGTTGAACATCATCCAGGAGGAGATTCCGAACCTTGTTCGACCGGACCACTGGAAGGCGGTCACATCCTGGGCGGTGAACTTCGTGGCAAAGGCAGAAGGCCGAAAATGGTCGGAGCTTCCGATGCACAAGAAGTTCGAGATCATGGCCTTTGCCATGCTTACTGGGCGTTCCCACGGCGCTATCCACACTGACATGCAGCAGGCCGGCAACTTGGTGGACTTCATCACTGACGCCCACAGCAGGGCTGCACTGCGAGCGCTCATGGACGACAGGAGCAATCCGGAGACTTATCAGGTTAGCCGTGTGGCTGGTATCTTGCGTGACAAGGCAGTGACATCCTTGTGCACCGTCACGCTCACGTGGGGCGGTGAGGGCTAGCCGAACAAGTCAGATCTCGACTTGCACACTATGGTGGACGGTGTGGAGCTTTACTACAACAGGAAGGTTGTTGGAAAGTGCCAGCTTGACTTTGACGCGAACGCGCAGACTGTTGAGGCCTTCCCCGCCGAGAACATCTCGCTGAACCAGCCAGGCACCTTCACCATCAGGGTCAACAACTACCGCAACCGCGACTCTGCCAGCGTTCCCTTCCAGGTCACCGTCAAGAAGCCCGGCTCTAGCGAGGTGTACACAGACGTTTGGGACAAGAACCGTGCGCCAGGAAGCTTCATGGAAATCTGCACCGTGACTGTGACCCCCGAGGACGAAACGTTTAAATTTGGGGAAAGAGCCCTCAACACCATCACTAACAAAACGTGCCAAGCCGCGGTAGGGCCCTGCTGGGAGGACCTGGTCGAGGAGCCCGTGGAGCTCTCAGCTGCAGAGCAGAAGCGCCTGGCCGCCAAAGAGGAGGAGTGGATGCGCATGGTCGGAGAGCCCAGGTCGCGGCCTCGGCCGCCCTTGTACAAGCAGCTAAGCTTGCCACCGTTAAATGAGCATCAACTGTCCCTGCAGTGAACTGGTATACGGAATAACCACGGGGCAGGAAGCTATGCCTCTTCAAAAGTATCTCGGCGGAGGTGGTTGCCTCACGCTGCTTGTAGACTGCCTGATTTCCACGTGCGCAGCAACCATCATCGTGGGGTTGTGGCCGAAATTTGCAGTTGTCGGACTCCGAATGGCAAGTCCGGTGCTTCGAACACTCTTTTGGTCTCTTTTCCCGGCCCGATCCTCAAACTGCAGCCATTTGTTCCTATTCCCGAAAACAGGGAAGGGACTCGGACAACAACCGCACGAAAAACGAAAAGTTAACTGGCAACTCACGCAGAGGTTAACACTTTGCCAAAAACACAACTGCGTCCAGACTAGAACTAAATCAGAGCTTAAACGCACAACGACTACGAGCATCAATAGCGCTACAATTGAGATTCTGGGTTCAGTTCTACCAGAGCTTGTCTGTGAGTTGAGTTTCTTTTGAGTTTGTCTTTGAGTTTTTTCTTCTCTGCTTCTTTTTAGAGGCCGTTGCGAGTCCCACCTTGAAGCCTGGATTTGTGTGGAGTTTCTGGCCGGCTTTTGTCTGGAGTTTTTTCGCGCACAGGTTTCTCCGACTTTTGGATATTTCCAAGCGACTCTAACTCCTCTATCGCCAGGACCAGAGAAACGAGCTGTTGTCAGACAAGTGTTGGTGGGGCGCAGGTGAGCAATTAACGCGGAAGGAAGAGTGATTTGTTTTTTGGGACCGTTGCTGTTGAAGCCAGTTGTCTTCGCTCCTCCAAAGATCAGCATAGTTGTGTACGGCCCTGCTGAGACAGACACAGCCTGTCAAGAAGGAGAGGGTGCAAAAAGAACTCAAAGCTCAGGTCGGCAGTTGCCACCGACGCAAGCATTGCAGACACCGGAGGCCACGAGATGGTCTTGGTGAAGTCTGCGGCCTTCAGTAAGAGCAGCTGCGGCAGCGCACAGGCGGCATTTGCTTCGATGCTGACGGCGCCTGCGAAAGGAGAGGATGGCAAGGCTTCGTTGGCGACTCGATGCAAGCTTGGCAGCCTCTCTGGCTTGATTGAGCACATCTCCGAGAATCCTTGCTCCTTGATGGTTGACCCACGAAACTTTGTTCCGGGCTATGTCACGCATTTGCAGACAGAGACGGATGTGCTCTTCGAGAACTTTGCCATCAACGTCTACCATCGGAAGAATGAGCTGCCCCAGGCCCCAAGAAGCGACGAGCAGTCGACGGTCCGATTCGATGCAAGCTGGGGGGTATCCAGCATGGCAGCTGTGCATGGTTTCATCAAGTTGAAGAACAGATGGTTCATGGTGTTGAAGGGGGCCCATCTTCCCAAGGATCCCTCCTGGCCGCGGGGTGGAGGGATGTATCCTACCAATCTGAAGCCTGAAGCGCACCACCACCGCAGCAAGTGGGTTAGCTTCCACGCCCTGGTGCTGCCCGAGGAGCCTGCAACCGGCGTGCCGCTCATCGGCTCGGCACTGGTTGGTTTCCCAAGCTTCCGCTTCATCCTCGACGGCAAGGAGATCTCCGTTTCTGCGGAGTGAATTTCTGACCCATAGCGATCTTACGCTCTGATGGCCCAGCATGCGACGCAGGTCCTGTATAGCTACTGCGTACGAATGTGGCACAGGCGTCGGGATCTTCCCTGGTCCTACTGTCCAGAGGCGAACGGTAGTCTTGTACAGTGAACAGACGCACAGCGGACAGGTGCAAGTTTCAGGACGAAAACAGTGAAGAATCCACGCCGTTTTGCGCTTTCTGCAGAGAGTCGCGAGTCAGCCAGGGTGGGTCCTGGTATCAATTTCGACATGTTATTGCTAGGTTGTGATGCTTTCTACAGACATGACACGGCTAGCGCTCTGATTGAAGACCTTGACTTATCAGAGGTAGCCTCGGCTTGAGGACTAACCCAAATTAGTGCCTTTATGAACATGAACATGCTGACAGTAGGCTGCCGTGGCGGTCCTACAAGCTGTTTTCAACTCCTATGCCTGGCGCCCAGTGTCAGGAGGGGACCTGCGCTATCCAGCGGAGAAAGTCATGCACTGTTCGAGCGAATCGGTTTTGCAAAGCCAAGTATCGATCCCGACCAGCATTCTGTTGCGCGCGGAGCCTGCGGCCCAGGACAGGGACGGCCAGGGGCAGCTATGCCGCGAAGACTACATGCGCCTGGTGCGGGATCGTGGTCAGGCGCAGAGAACGTCCAACGTCCGAATTCAACCAGCACATCCATTCTGAGTTGGAGACCTTCGGCGTGAAATTAGCCCTGCTGAGCCAGTGGCTTGCTGCTACCGTGCATGCATGAAGCTTGCCGCGGCAGGTGCCGCGCACACCCGAAGAGTTCCACGACTTGCACCGGCAAGTGGCATTCTGCCGCGAGGTCCTTTTGCATGCCCCAGAGCTCAAGTTTTCAAGAGAGTACCTCCAAGCATGGCATTGCACGTGTTGGGGTGTGCCGAACATGTGTCATGCGTGTCCGGCCGACCTATGAGCCCTGATTGGAAGGCCCCCCGCGCACCAAGCCAAATCGCCAAACCAAGCTTTTTTCCTTTCTGCTGCGACCCCGAGAGACTCGTCGAGCATAGAGCCGGGGACATTGATCCAAGTGCTCCCGAAAGCCAGAAAACTGTGCCAGGATGGATTGCCAGGCCCGTTGGATTTCGCGGCCTTCATCAGGCCCGGCGAAACGGCTCACCTTCACTGCCACACCGCGGGTTCAGCCAGGTTCGTGACCTACCTGAGCGGTGCCGGCTGTGCGTGACAGAAAAGGCAGCTGAAGACCAGCAGCCGAGAGCGCAGCCACAAGCGCAGCCACAAGAGCAGCCACAAGCGCAGCTATTGCTTTATGCGTTAATGGCAGTTGAGAGAGCAGGGACGGGCTGTTACCTTTGCAGGCCTGGCCCTCCGCTACAGTGCATCACGAGGGCACGCAACATGCGGGCTGAGCGCAGGAAGTTCGCCAACCGAGCGTTTGAAAGCGGGCGAAGACCAAAGGAGGGAATCATGTGATGATTGCAAGGGGTCGCCAAAGGTACCGGTAGCATACGTCATTACACTCTGTCCAGGTGCCCGTGGACGCTTCCGTAGCCCCTCGGGCTCAAGGTCGGGCTTCCAAGGACCCCGTCAAATACCCACCGGGCAACAAATCCGGTCATTGTAGCTAGCGCCACCGTCAGGTGCCGGAAGCCAGGAGCTTGAGATGCACATTCAAGATGAGGTTGCAGCATTTGTGTTGCTAGAGGCAACAGATTTGAAGATGAAGTTTACAAGGCACATCTGCCCAGATTGCTTGAAAGCTACGTGAAGGTCGCCAAGATGCTTCCAGAGTCTCTGATCTCCGTTGCCAACAAGGCCCGAGAGCGAGGATTGGGGGCTACAGCTACGGGTTTTCCATAGAAGATGGAAGGAATCCGGAGACTCGTAGCTCACACGCGGTCCTCTGCTCTCGTCGCATTTTTTGCCCACCTTGGCCCTAAGAACAAATGAGGCGGAGCTGTCCTCCTCGTTCCAGGCGGCCGCTTTCTGGGAGTTTCTGCGGAGTCTCTGCGAAGCTTCGCCTTTTGATGCATATCCGCCACAAAAGAGGCTGGCTGGAAGTACGTGATGGCCCGGGACCACCAGGTGAAGCTTTTCGAGGTCGAGGCCGCTTTGGGGTGGGCCCAGCCGGGGGGACCGGGCCCAGGTTGAGTGGTGGCAGAGCCATGGGCAGAGCATGCTGTGCCCAATGTGGTCCTCGAGAGAGAGACCTGAACCCGGAGTCAAGTGGAAGTGTCTCGGCGTAGTGCAGCGGGATCTTCCCTCCTTCCCCATACGCAAAGCAAGCAACGAACTACTTGCATCGCCAGGATTTCAATGCCTGGACGACCTTCGCTGCGGTCTTCGTCTGCCTGATAGCCGCGGCCTTGGGCGGAGATCTTCCGGGGGGTGAGGCCACAAGTCCGAAGCTCGCGCCGCTCGGGTGCTTGCAAGAGTTGCCAAAACCCTCAATTTAGGAACACCGCCGCAGATGTCGTGTGCAGTCGGTTCACAGTTCACATCTCTGAGATGCTCGACAACTTCTACCTCAACCGTAGCGCCGAAGAGTTGACAATTGGGCGCCTGGGAACCCAGCTGCAGAAGCCGTGCCAACTTCTGGTGCTGGCGTCTTGCTAAAGCTATGTGCGTGTGCTGCATGTGGCTTGCCTTCAACCCCGTAACTTCCATGAAAGCTGATCTCTGTAGATACGCGAGGACACTCGTGGCCCCACCTTGCCATCTTGCAACCCATACATGGAACCTGACGTCGTGTCGGTATTCAAGAGGTGTGTAGTTCATGTCAATACTAGCCTCTAGTTTTCTAGTGACCAGTTTTGCAATGCAGTACCCCTGCGAGGCGCACTGCGCTACACCCTCTTCTGGATCTCCACGGCCTTTGCTTTCTGTGGCATTGGCCTTACCATGCAAGAGTGAACAGCAAATGTGCCTCGCATAAATGCTGGGTCGACGAATACCGATCGGTAACTGCACAACGGTTTTCTACTATGTCTTGCATACCGCAATGCTTGCTCTTCCTTTTCGCGTCGTGTCGTCTCGTGTTCCCACCCCCGAAAACACGGCTGGCAGGCTGGATTTGGTACACCTATGGCCGCTCCAGTGCTTTTATGTGGATGAGCCAGGGCCTCGCTTCTCCGCCAGGGTCAGGGGGCCGCGTCAAGAACTCAGGGTCAAGGGGAGCTGTTGAGCAGATGCAGGGTTATAAAGGGTCTCAGATTCGAAAGTCATGAGGAAGATGAGGGCATCATGGCCTTGAGCCTTTTTAACCGAAATGCGGACTTGGACCAAGCCAGGTGGATACATGTTAGAGTGGCTGCTGTCCTTCGACAATCTTTTCGTGCCGGCCTTACTGCTGCATTTCCGGCAAGCCGCCCTGAGTAACCAGGAAGTCCCCAAGAAGGTACCCGGCAGGCTTAGAGCGTCGTCGCGAGGTATTCCACCTCATCTTCAATCTCTATGGCACGCCTGACCATTTGAAGCATCGCCCGCTCTATATTGGGATTGGCCCTTAGAGCTGCATGACAAGCCGGAAGGAATGCTGAAGGATTTGTGGAAGCTGCTGCAGCTATGTCACCGGAGATGAGCATGAGGGAGTGCCGCCCTTGCTGATTAGCTGGCCAAGGATTTGCGGTGCCGTGGCGTTCCGCCTCATGTTCATCTTTGTGGGCGAGTGCCGAAGGGCCGAAGATGAGAACCCCAAATCCCCTCTTCCAGATCTGACCAGTGCTGGCAGCGGCATGCAATTCTCAGTGTAGGGTGCCTGCACGAGGTACATGATGCATGCGATGGTCTTCATGCATTTTGTGTTCGGGGCCTTTCTTGTCCTGAGCCTAGATTTCCACTATCAGAGGCTGCACGTCGCTGCTTTCGTGACTTTCCAACACCCACCACGTCCCTTGCGGCCAGAGCCGAGTGACCCTCTACTCTCAATCACCATATGAGCCTCGTTCACGGCTGAAGCCTTGAGCAGCAAAGTCTCATGGAAACCTCTGCGAACACCGGCTGGGCCCGCATATGTATCCTTCGGAGTAATTTTGCAGTTAGTTGGTACATTGTGCTTCCTTTGTGTTGCTGGTGTTTGGACGATGCAGACAGGACCCATGAGGCGGAGACATGTGACAGCTTCATTGGTCGTACTGCGTGGACTGAAGTCTTTTTCTGTCCCGTGCCTGCATGTCTTCTGTGGTGTCGTGACTTGAGGTCTGTAGATGTGAGCTGTCATGCGGAGGTCGAGGGTATGCCAGTAATGGGGTATGTGTGGAGGTGGGAATCCCCTTCGAAACCGACCTCCCGAACCCCGCCTCAGCCAAACTGGCGTTCCAAAACCTTTCAGGCGACGGAAAGGAGGTGTCAACAAACACGGGTCTCATGGGGACTGTCTCAGCTTCGGATTTGGCCAGGGTCGAAACAACGACAGGCCCTTGTCCAACATCACCTGCATGTCTGATTTCCCGTTCTTTTGTGCTGAAATATGTCGGGTCCCCAAACCGGGTTCATCTCGGGTGGTCCCTGGTTGCGCGTGTTTGGTGCCCCAATGTCGCCCCTCCGCAAGGTTTACACCGGCGTCAAGACGCTAGCCGCCGACGAGGAGGATGAGGCACGGTATGGATCCTTCGGCTAGTGGCGGCTAGTGGCCGAAGTCAGAGGGATGGAAAGCTCGGCTTTAGGGCACAATGTGAGGCCTGCGATTCAAGTTCGATTGGAGCACAGTCCCGATTCAAGCTTTGGGAGTGAACTCATGACACGCTGGCATGCGAGTCTGCAGCTCAGTGCGGAAATCGATTTCTACCGATGCCTGGACAGGCATGCAGTCGCCGAAAGAGCCTTTCCAACACCGTTCATGTGTGCTTGCTGCCAGGATCCTTCCCAGAACCCGATGGTCAAGTGGCTGCAGGAGAAGGTGCTGCAAAAAACTTTGATGTTCGCTCAGCTGAAGATTGTGTAAAGCCTGACGCTGCCAGTTACACTGGTCTGATCTCCGACGTGCATAAGGTGTTCTGGTCAGTGGATTTAATGGGATCCAACGCAAACCATGCCTCCTGCATTCCAAGAAGTGCTTTCGAGCAACTTCGAGCGTCGGGCATGTGATGCACTCGCCTGCTTGCACCCCCCCAGGTGCCGTTCGTCAATGTCTACGACGACAACGGGGCGTGCGGGGTCCCGGTGGCCAACAAAGATTGGTTGGTGGCTGGCTAGCAATTGCCAAGAAAAGCTTGGGGTTCTGTCCCTTGAAGGGTGTCCAACGCGAACTAGTAAATGCACGACTTGATGAATCAGTTCATGTCCACCCAGACTTGTACGGATATTATCGCCGATTGTCTGGGGTCCAAGATTATGCACCCCTCGAGCTTGGATAAGGCCAAAGGTGTAAGGAGAAGTCAAGATCTGAGAGGCAACATAAACTCAGAACTTGAGCCGCTTGAGAGATCTTTTGCTAGAGGGCCCTCCAGGGCCGTGCCAGTGCACAGGAACGGAAGCAACACTCAACTTGAAGTTGGGATAGAAGAGGTGAGAGCATTTTCGGCAGTAGCCAGCTGCGGTCGCCTGAGGTTCTTCGTGAAAGTGCCTGTGGATGCAAACGGATGCCCGGCCCCAGATGACAAGAACCAGCAACTCGTCCGGAAGAGATTCCAAGATCTCGTGCAGCGCCAGACCAGCGAGGGGGTCAACAAGTGTCGCAGTGTGATTTTTCTAGACATTCCTGGTTGGGGCCCGGACTTTCCGAGTGCAGCTTGTGGCTTGCATTGCCTGGGTATCAGGGGCCCTCACAACCCGAGCTCGCAGGTGGGTTGCCCCCAAGGACGCCGAGTGTGCGAAGATTTCCGAAGGCAACAGCGAGGCGGACCGCAACCCTCGCTGAGACTTGAGAATGCCTGCAGGAGGTGTTGCGGTCTTGCTGGCACGGCGATGTAAAATAGGCAGAGGGCCTGATGCCCTACAAAGCTCACAGACTCCTTAGATTAGGGTTCTTCCTGGACAGAGTCTTTCGTTTCTCTTTTGAGCACCGCAGGCTGTCTATGGCACGGTGGACTTCTCCAATTATAGGCTGCCGGGAAGGGGGATCCACAGCCGAAGCCACAAGTCCGAAGCTCGTCTCAGGGCCACCGTGGCAGAGAACCCGACGAGGCCGACAGCAGAGCATGTCTGCCCTTCTCGTGTTGAGATGTTGAGACTCTTTGGTAAGGGTGGTCTTACTGTAGTCTTACTGTTAAGAACCGGATTTCTGAATGTTGCACAGGACGCAGTGGGACATCCAGGTGAATTTGGCTTTGGGCAGGCCCACTTGTCTTCATGTAATCCGCAGGCATTTGCCTATCAAAAACTGCAAAAATGGCGACAGCCAAAGCAGTGTGCAATACATGAATGGGTTAGTGGACCGCAACGTCGGAAGCTTTGCATAGAACGACCGGCAGACTCTCGAGCTTCCATCCCAAAAGCTCGACCCCCCCAGCGAAAACCTCGCCCGAGGCTGCTTTTCCACACACCTCGTAGACCTTCTTTGAGCTCTGAAGCTTCGATTCTCCACACACCCCTACCAGTAGCCCTAGCAAATCGCCAAGACTCCTTCGCGGTCGCGAACCTTCTGACGCCTCAGCCATGAGCCATGGCCGGGCCGCCCGTGTATCGGCCTGGCCGCTCCTCTCGGATTGGTCTGGAATTTTGGGGGAATCCGCTTGCACTATACAGAGGGAGTGTGTCATCAATCAGAATTGCTCCACCTACAGTAGCAGCATGTTGTCTAGCTAGAATTGCTCAACTAGTACTTATGTCAGGAACCCTTTTGTGGCTCCGTGCTTCCATGCCAGACTGGCTGTCTCGCCTCAGGTGGCACTGCTTGTGCGGCGCTGGTCGGGGCACAGAATCCGTTTGAGCCAGCGGCTCGGGTGCCAGCCGCCTTTGAGCCTGTGTCCCGGGTGCCGGCAGTCCTGCCGCTCGGCTTTAGTGGCAACGTGTCAGCCCGCTGCTGAGCACCCTGCCCTGCGGGTCCCAACAAAAAGAACCGAGGCCCAGCAAAATCGTGCGGACGATCTCGCCAGCGCAGCAGTGGCAACCGGCTGCTTTTGCATGCCCTGGCTGTGGCAATGTGCCCCTTTCGGATGCTTGGCGAGATTCGGTCCGGGCACCGATGCAAACGGCCTATAGCACACTCGGTTCATCAAGCCGTGTGTCAGAGCGCCACCGTGTGCTCGACTAAGGACAGCATCTTCTGCCGCCGATGTGGCTACAGGCAGGTCCGATCAAACCCTGGTTCAGGGCTGTGAGCTTGAGATGTGTCGTGAGAACCAAGAATCCCAGGGTTACTGCGGTCTAACAGATAAAAAAAGGCTTAGCCTAGAATTCGAGAGCAGGAGTTACATGGCACTTGCGGTCACAACCTGTTGTTGCAAGCAGATTATAGCAGGCCTGAAACCCGTTACTTTTCTCTTGAACGCGGCTTGCTGTTATCACCCAGGCATCTCATCCTATGAGCCTGTGACGATTGCTTCCGCCCTAATATGAAAGTGTCCCCTTGCGTGAGATGTCTTTCCGAGAGGCATTTAGGTGCCTCCGAGGGATGGGGAACCATAGACAAAAACAGCATAGCCTATGAAACAACCAGCACCGAATCTCTCGCTCTCTCTCTCTCTCTCTCTCTCTCTCTCTCTCTCTTTCTTTCTTTGTGACTCTCGCTCCCTCTCTAATTTCCGGTGGGTGGTAGGAGCTGGAAGCATCTGAAACCTGTTTTTGCAAGAGCGGGTGCGTACCAACAGGCGTGAGTTGAGTTCATTTCCCAAACGTTCCTCTTCCCAGAGTCGGCTGCAAGAAGCATAGTGGTGTGGCTGCGGGGGCAGTGCAGTCTGCAGACAGCCACAGGAATGTAGGACCGCAGGAACTGCGGTGGGACCACAGGTTGCAGCAACCACAGAGACGCAGGCCGGCAGGGTGTGCAGACTGCAAAATTGAGGACAGAGAAAGAAGCAGGAATGGAGCATTGCAACATCTCCCGACTTTGCGTTCGCGCGCACTCAAACCTGCAACGGGTGTAGGCAAACAGATTGAGAATCTTAGATACACCAGAAGTAGTGGGAGACGCAGCATCATCGTCGAACGGCCATGCGTTGTGTGTTGCAGCCACTCCGAAGTCCGGTAGAGCGCAGCGCAGCTGGCCGGCCCGATCATCGCGGTCGGCCTAGGTCCTGGCTCCCTCAACAATCTTCGACTCCATTGCCATAACACGTCCACGTGCACAACTCGCAGAGAAGTTCTGCCAAGCTTGGAACATGGGGCGGAGCTTGGACTACGAGGGATCCTTGGACAAATGGGGCGAAGCAAAGATTAACGGGGCGAGTATGCCCGCAAGGTACGTAGCTGCCGCACATGCCACTCCTGGTCTGCACCCGTATTATAGGCAGATTAGGCAGTGGGGGAGTTACAAGCAGGCTGTGAAAACAAGGCGGAACGGAACTGGCGACGGATCTGCAGCCTTCAGATTGCCCCGCTTTGAGCGACCGGCGTTTCTCCTCTTGTGGAAAGGCTCAAAGAAGATCGCCCCGAGTCTCCAAAGGCTGGGGTTCCGTTTCTCTTGTCTTCGGACACTCCTGTTGATCGCAGAAGGCGAAGACCGAAGATGTGGTGAAACTACAGTCGCTGGTCGACAGCCTGCAGCAGGCTACGCCTGTATTCTGTGAGATGCGAGATCTTGCGTGATTGATGACTGCGGCTGCTGCTACTGCCATGGATGCGATGCTTACGAGACGCGAGTAAATAATGCTCAAACGAGGATCCCCTTTGGCTGGCTTTGGGTGCTGACACTGTTCAATTCTTCACCGCAATAGCTTTCACAGGCAAATGTGGAGCTGAAGCTGCAGGCGGAGATGACGCCGGAGCCCCGTCGCAGTTCTTCTTCTGCCTTGTCAGGGTATAACGACTTGAAGCATGTTTGGGCCTGATCAACGGGGCCGACGTTTCTCTTTCCCTGTTTTACCCGCGACGATGGTGGAAAGTGGCACAACTGGATTTCACAGACGCGGCGCTTTGCATTCGATCTACTTGCAACAAGTAGTCCTGGGTACAAAAGCTTGTGCAGGACCCCAAGCTGTCTAGATTGTTTTAGCTACCACAGACCTTGTAAACAAAGTGCCTGGCAGCATCAACGGGAACTAGAAACGATAAAGGGAAAAGCGCAGCAAAAGGTTGCTTGTGCCGGCTAAAAGACAGGTCAAAAGGTACGTGAACGACCACTTAAGACTAACAAACACAAACTAAGTGGGTGCTCCCACAAGCAGAACTTACCCCACTACCCCACAAATGCAGACAGTAAAGCTTGGCACAACTGGCGGACGTCTCAGCATGATTCTATTCATGCGCCTTTGTTCACATGTGACATGCAACACAGCACCGCCACTTCGTCGGCACTGCAAGGCTGCCGTAGCACAAAAGGCCGGGTTGAACCGTTTGAGATCGTCTGAGCATCATGTGAACCCATGTAAGCCAGAGGCGGCAGCACGAAATGGCTTTCTGCATGCGAAGATTGGCAAAGAAGCTTTGTGTTCAGAAACTTGAAGATGGCTTCGCAGAGTGGTGCACAGACTTTGAACAGTATTGCGTCTTTGTTCCGACAGGAGATGATCTCAGGCAACTTTCAACTGTGTATTGAGGATGGATGTCATTTCGGTGAGATTCCATGAAGTAGTGTTGGGTTGCGTGAAGACCAAGGCCTTCGCTGGCTTCGCAGGTGCGACCTCGACCTGCGCAAGTAATATATAGATATTTGTCGAAAGCCTGCAGAACTGGTGTAATGGCGGGAACTTGTCTGATGTTGCCGGCAGGTGGAAGATCTCACCAAAGATCTTGCAGCCCGTGCCTTGGTGGGGTCCTGTATGATATTGTTCGAGGCCCTGACAAGGTTCCTGCTTCTCATGCAAGCATGATGACATATCCGGCTCAACCAACTTCCCGATCGATGCAAGAACTGTTTTTCACGCTTCGTTAACTCTTGTTTTTTCGAGCAGTCAAGCGGCAGGCTTGCCGGCAAGGGAAAAAGCGTGCAGACGAGGACCCACAGGGCACACAAGCCGAGATTTGCCTGTGTGTAGCAGCACTCTCGTGCTGCCGCTGCTTCCGCCAATCCCCATCCCCTCACCCGAGTCTCCGGTCGACCCTAAACCCTCCGACTCAAAGCTTTGCAACAAGTCCTTGAGAGCATAAAACCTGTGCCACCTGTGGCACCAGGACCTTGCGAAAGCGCTGCGCAGCTGCCCAGCTGAAACGGGCACAGGGCGCATGGAGAGGGTTTGTATGTTGGCTTTGCTGGGTCCATGCCGCAATTGTGCTGTTTCAAAGCATGCCATGACCATGTGAAGCACTGAGGGGTTGCAGAACTGGAAGCTGTTGTGCCGCCGACAAGTTTCAATGAGGGTAGGGCTAGGTCGAGAGGCCGTCCGAGCAAGGGCAAGATCTCTCATGTCCAATCCAAGCCAATGCAGCGTGGCGGAATTTGCCGGAGATACCCTTCCACATTCGTACGGCTTGGCAGGTTGCACGGCAGGAAGCAGACAACTCCGAAGGCTATGGGGGAAGCGAGAGTGTCACGAAAGATTGGGCCGGTAGCAGGCAGGCCATGCAGTGGTGCTAGTACATAGCACTGTTGCAGTGACCCAGCATGGGCCTGGTGATGTGATCCGATGCAGTGGAAGCTGTACTATGAGAGCTGAGACCGTGTGCAATGCATCCGGGGGTGCAGAGGCTGAATTTGCATCTACAATTTTCTCCAGCCGCCGCTGTGGCACTCTCGCTTGGCATGATCATCAATGGCCTCAACCGCAGCACCACATGCGCACATGTCTATGTATTATGTATCACTTCCTTCCTAGAGTCAATAGCTATATGTTATGCTACCGCTGCTGCAACTGCTGCTACTGCTAGTGCCATTGCCACCGCTACCGCTACCGCTGTGGCTGCTGCTCCTGCCTTGCAGCTCTGAGCTTACTGCTTACTGCTATTGCTACGCCCACTGCTACTACTGCCACGTCTGCTGGTATGCTTGGTGCCAAGACGAACAGTGCCAGTCCGACCATGAGCTCGCCACAGTGCAGTAGGAACTGCGGCGGAATGTAAGTACGAGAGCTGTCAATCTGGCTGCGAGGTGTGCTGGAGAAAGAGCTTCTTGAAGATGATCGTGCAAAGATTCTGGAGGAGGTGGGCTCGTGTGAAGCCAGCCTTCGTGACTCTTCGTAACCACCACCACCACCACCACCACCACCAGCACCAGCACCAGCACCAGCACCAGCACCACCACCAGCACCACCACCACCACCACCACCACCACCACCACTACCACCACCACTGCGACAGCGACGACGACGACTACCACTATTACGACGACGACGACGACTACTACGACAACTACTACGATGACTCGACGATGACGACTACTGCTACACCGACTTTCTACGATTACTACCACGACTACTAGTAACTAGTATGACTACTACGACAACAACAACTTCTGCTACACTCATTCTAGTAGCAGGTCCGTTTGTTTGTTTATTGGCTTCTTGTCAGGCGAATGGGCGGCTGTTCGAAATGAGCCGCCGAGAGCAGTCCTTGAGAGGCAGGACCCTGCACCTACGTTCTTACTTTGTTGGCAAGCTTCATCTCACGGACGCGCCGACTTGCATCGCATCCGAAGTTGATGGGCAGCTATTCGCTGCAGGCCAATGCCAGCTTCTCAAGGCCAGCTCTCGCTGAAGATCCGAGTGAGAATTGCCTTGTTGGTACATGAAGTCGCTGAGTTGCAAGCCAGAGTCTGTCATGCGTTCTGCGCCGTGGGAGCTGTCATCACTGGTGTCTGCTGTCGCCGTCTAAGACGCGCACAGCAGGTATCAGTGGTATCAGCATGTAGAATTGGCTAAGGGCTAAGATGCCCCTGCATTAGGCCACCCAGTCCTGTCTAAAGCTGATAGTGTGGACAGTGCCCTTGTCCATCGCACCTTGGAAGCTGCTTCAGGCCTGCTGCTTCCGCCTGTGGTGGTGCCAGATGCACAGATGCCAGGTGTAGAGCGACAGGGGTGTGTGGGATGCCAACATGCAGTTTGATCCTACGGTACGTGATGCTCGTGTCAGACTGGCATGTCCTTGTGCTACTAGTACATGCTGAAAGGACACCAACTGGAACTGCAAACTCTCGCCTTCAACATTCCCGCAGATCTCGGAAGCAGTATGCAAACAGGTGCAGTCAATTTGGCTCCGAACCGAAGTTGCCAGCTGTACCCGACAAACTCCATGCCAAAGATCCGACGGGCTCTGAAGCCACCAAAACTCGGAAGCTTCACCCCGAAGTTCAAGCCTGCTCCTGCTCGTTGCTATTTCCCTGGCAAAGCTCTTTGTGGCAGGTTTATTAAAGCTGTGCGGCAAACGGCTTGTGAGTCGGTGGCGGCATGCCGGTTGATTTGCTGTTACGAAGGCTGTTTGTTGCTACACAACTTTTCGAAGGACATCCAGCTCACATGTTTCCATTCCCCTCCCCTCCTTGTTTTTTTGTCGGAAGGTTGCAGAGGATAGTTTTTGCGCTTCTTGTGCCACAAATTTCTCTTTACCTTCAAGGTCCACCTGCTGAGTGCAGTTCGGTTTGGCATGTGCTCTTTGAGATCAGAAAACCCGGTGGAGTGGTGTCCACCTGCGGTTGTTCTTGATAAGGAGACATTGCTTGACCAGAATTTGCACAGCTAAACAATCGCACAGACAGATCTTGTGTGGCATTGGAACTCAGATGCGGTGGTCAAATCAGTTTGTGGCAGTTCTGTGCATCCATGTGGGGCCGTGCCGGGCAAACAAGTTTTGTTTGTTCAGGTCTGCGCACCGATCTTCCAGGCACACCGTTATGAGCTGTTATATATGCCTTACAGATGTATCTATCCGATCTCCCTCACTCCCCGCTTTTCAGAAGCCATCAGAAGTGTCCGACTTAGTCGTGGCACTTTCAGGCCTTGAGGTCGTGTCGCCACCTGCGCCGCAGGAAGGCACACAGGCCGCCTGGCAGCAAACCTCAAGCTAGAGGCTCACACGTATTCTAGATTCTAAGCATCTTCAGTGATCACGTTCAGGAACGTGCATGCCGAGGCTTGGTGCGGACAAGGCGTGGACCCCCTCCCGGTGAACCGCATGCCGCTGCCGGACGACTGGCGCGGTATTTTGCAGTTCCAGGCAGCAGAAGTACCCGTGAGTAGCAAGGCAGCGTGACATGCGTGATGTAATCCATCGAAACCCAAGCGAAAAACGATGCTTTCCCAGCTCCAGCATGCGGAATTCATCTCATGGTCTGATGCTAGCAGCAAGAACTTCATGACTTGAAAGTGCAGCCGGTTGAAGCGTCGAAGCCTTCAACCGCAATACCGACTGGAAGCAGCAAGCCCAAGCCTGCCAACGCAAAAAAGGCACTCAATCAGAGTCACAGTCAGAGAATTCAAGCCCCAGGGGGTGGCAGCAGCAGCAGCAGCAGTAGTGGTGGTGGTAGCCGGTCCGGAGTGGCTCTTTTTTTTTGGCAGGCTCAGCTCTTCCATGGCTTTGCCGAGGCACTGAGCCACCGGCCCCGGACTCGGATCTCAGCCATGTTGTTCTGCTGGTGGGCCATTCGCTGCTGTGCCGTTTCATCTGTGTGCTGAGCACATGCCGCCGGCGTCTGCGATTTGCTTGGTTGTGCTTTTTTGCCACAGCGGTTACTCCCGTTCTTGCACGTGATGTGGGGTCCGATGTCCGAGTTTGACATACGAGAGTGTGCGAAACCGATCGGCTTTCGTTGCCAAGCCGACCAGCGCCCGAAGGACGGAGGTGGCCACCGGCTCGTCTCCGAAGGCTTGGCGGAGCAGCCCGGTTTGTGCTTTCCTCATGTCCAATTTCAAGCAAAGCAGCTCCGCACCCATGTTCATGGCAGCTGTGATTTTCAGGGGTGGAAATGCTTGCGGTCAGCAGCATCTGCTGTAGTAAGTCCTCCTAACCTCCACTAAGTACTTCAGCGTTACCCGCGTTCGGACACAATTGCACATACAGGCGCATGGCTTGACAAAGCACTGCCGACCGTTAACTTCCTACGGTTGCAGAAAAGCAGAAATGCATGATGGATTCCAAGTCTTAAAAGCACTGAGAGTGACGTCCCACCTTACGCTTGGGATCCCGTTCTGTAGCGGGTCTACTCAATGATGTGCCGGCGTCTTGCGTCCCAAGACGGTTTGTGTCACAAGCACCGGCTTCGAGCCAAGTGTTTCCAGCTGCGCTTTTGGACCCCGGAATGAGGAGAGGTGGAGCGTCAGAACCTTCAACACGGTCCGCGCTGCAAGCGTTTCTGCTTCAACCTTGGCTTGGTGTCACTACATTGCATGCGAGGCGTATATCGTATGCGTTTTGCCATCCCTCCTGCAGTTATCACTCGCGAGATGTTTGTACACAGGCTGTACACAGGCATGTACGTACAGGTCGGACCGAGGATGTGTCTATGTATCATATCAGTTCATAATCATCAAGACAGATTGAGATGAGTGTGCATATTTACATGCATGTGGAATTGTGTTTGTGTGTATGTATGTGTATACATATAACAAATTAAATGAATAAATAAAAAAAAATATATATATGCACACACACACACATATATATATATATATATGCACATGAACACAGTTGCACAGATGCCGCCAAATCGCCTGACATGTGTTCGTTGAAGTCGAAGGCACGCGCTGCCTCTCCGGTGCACTCGCGTGAGGTCGCGATGAGCCCAAAGTGACCTGACTTATCAAGACCACCTCACGTTGTTGATTATCAGAAATGAGCACTACCGTCATTGGTTGGCCATAGATTTATCATGTTTATTGCTACTTTACGACGATTGTCATGATTGTGGCAGAAATAGCAGCTACCGCACGGGTAATCGAATTCGTACCACCCCTTCAATAGCAAAATATGGCCATGGTACCTACAGCACTGATGATGGTAGAAGCAGTAATCTGATGCGTAAGCATGTCAATGGCAAGAATCGTGTGCATCTGCTGGAAGGGTGCCGGTTTTTGGGAGCGCAGACTTCTAGTTTCGGTTGGACTCCTGCTTGTTTATGTCATGTTGGAGAGTGCCCAGTGAAAGTGAGTCTAGCTTCGATTCTCCAACCTGCTGAGGTCACCCAAAGAGGAGGGACCTGCGGAATCAGCAGCACGCTGATTCCTCAATGCCCACTTGTCAGTTCAATTTTTGTTTAGTTTGTCTGACCGCATGGCTTCCGTTGTTTCTCACTTGGTGTTCTGCGAACAGCCCAACGAGAGTCTGCGACAGGTTGTGCTCGCGAGTAGAGTCTAGGGTTGAAGACGCTGTGCCCGCTTTGCGCAGCGTTTTTTGTCTTACTTCGCAGCTCAGCGTGGAGCACGGGAGGCATCCACGGTCCACCTGTAGTCCCAGCCCACAGCCCAACGTACGTCATCCATGGTGCACTCAAGGATAGGATCACCTCCGCCTTGACCAGTCCCATGCAGCGAGGCCACCAACACAATGGATCGGCGGGCCATCAACACACAGAGGTGGGAGAGCCGCCACCATGATGGTCGCCATCATCGATATCATCCTCATAATCTTCATTATCGCGGCAGAAATCCGATGAAACTGTGATTTGTTGATGTTCTTGCGAAGGCTTGCCGTTTCTGTTGCGAGTCGAATTTTTGCTAGGCAGTCAATGTTGCCGAGCGCCGGTCTACAGGATGAAGTAAACTAAACTGAATGAGCCGTTCATACAAAGGCACATGCCGCAACATCGAACACGGAAAGCGGGCGAGAGAGGCAAGAAGCGAGCAGAAACGAACGGAAGCACCGCGTGCTACATCCACGAGTGCTGTTTCTGCTGCATTATGCTGCATTAGCAGCCGCACCTTGGCTGCGGTCATGCAGGTACAAACGTCGCCGATCTGGCCTAATGCTGAAGTTGAACTCTAACCCAACTACACAAAAGACCCCCAAGCCGAACGATTCGAGTTTTCCCACAGCCGCCACAGACCACCACTCTCAGTTCCTTGCAATGCAGTGTTGCAACAAAATCTGAACTCTGAGTGCCAACTTTGAGATGGTCTTGGGGTCTCGTTGCTTCAGCCAGAGCATTTGTCCAGGGTGCCCTTCTGAGAAGATATCGCAGGTATTGGTTCATCCTCCATGTCACTTGTAGTGGGCTGTCGGAACCCGTGCTTAGTTTCGTTTTTGTTGTCGTTGCGCGGACCCAGGAAGCCAGTGAGTAAGTGAACCCCGGTTCCCGCAACGACAGCAAAAAACCAAATGCGCCCCCGAAACGACAGCAACAAGATAAACGCGCCCCCGCGAAGACAGCAAAACAATAAACGCGCCCCCCGGGACGACAGCAAACAGAAATAAACGCGCCCCTGCAACGACAGCAAAAGAATAAACGCGTCCCCGCAACGACAACAAAAAATAACCGCGCCCACGCGACGACTGCAAAAAAATAAACGCGCCCCCCCGGGACGACAGCAAAAAACTACACGGGCCCCCACAACGACAGCAAAAAAATAAACGCGCCCCCGCAACGGCAGCAAAAACCAAATGCGCCCCCCCAACGACAGCAACAAGATAAACGCGCCCCCGCAACGACAGCAGAAAAGCAGCGACAGCAAAAACAAACACTCGTACCGTGCACCGTGGGCTGTCATGTCATTAACAGGAGGCCCCTGCAGGCCAGCACCGCAACAAAGCTCCAATCGGTCTCTCAGGCTAGCTTTAGTGACGGGCTTAACAATTGTCAGTTCGTGTTCCGTAGTGGCATGCTCATTGCGGGGGCAAAGCTGTAAAAAAAGCACATGCCATCAGCATCGTGCACATCAAAGTGGACGATCAACGTCCACTGCGTGGTCTTACAATGTCTTACAGTACAATGTGGGGCCGGTGAAGCGTTTTTTGCCATCAAAACACCTTGCGATTGCTGTGAGACGACATTGACAGTGCATTAGATATGCAGCAATGCGAGGCGCTGCGAAAAGTGACACCTTTCCAGACGAAGCGGGTTGGTTGACAAGCACTGCGATGAAGCGTCGGCAGGGCGTGAGGACACTTGGGTTCTCAATAAGTTTACCAGATACTGCTGCCAAGATGAATGCCGCAAGCAGACCTACAAACAATGCAGTGCAGAAACTTGCGTTACTCGAAACCGAATTCTGCGAGCTAGGCAGAAAGCATATGTAGTTCTTTCATGTTATTTCTAGTTTTTGTCACGAAGGTGCTCGCCGACTTCAGGGCCCACCCGGTGAATCGCCACGGCGCTCAGGGTTCAGGGTTTGAGCAGGGCATGACGTGCTCCTGCAGTCCACCAAACTGAAGCTGACATGCCCGGCGCACAATGTAGCAAGTCTGGCTTGGGCGGGGTCGTTGTTGCAGACAGGGCAGGCCATCATCGTGCTGGGCTCTGGTACGTTTTTGCTATGCCATTTCTTTGCCAAGGTCCCGTGGAAGCGCGGAAGGCAGCGATTGCTGATTTCTGGAAAGCTGTTGGACTAGGAATGACTGCTTAGTACTTAGTAAAGTACCCTCTAAGCGCAGGTCTCGATTTCCACGGCTCAAGCATCACGTTGGTGAAAGTTCAAACAACTTTCCACAGCCACAGGCGGACCAGGCACGCCGACGCTCTCCGGCCCCAAAGGCAACTCGGCAGCCACGTGAGAGATGTCCTCCGAGGGACGTGGCATCCATTGGCGGCTTCAGGCTTCAAGGTGCTGTATAGGACTTTAGGGCTTTAGGGCACCGTTGCTGGCAGGAGTGGCTTCCTGAGGGAAAGGCAGCTTAGCGAGACTGGCCCGTACTTCTGGCATCGCACATCCCTGACAGAAAGGGTGCCGTACGCCACTGCGCCATTGTAGTCCAACAGGTACCACTGCTTCGGCTGCTTCAAAGTTTTAAGGCACGTGCAAAACACAGATTGTAACCGTGATCAATCTTCACCAATCCTCCCACCACACACCAAGGAATCCACAGCCCGACCTTTAAGCCATTCTGAGTGAAGCTCCGCAGAGGCTGGGCCGGCAGGAGCCAAACCGGCGCTGAGGCGGCCAAGCAGTCGTGCCAAGCTGTGGCCTCAGCAGCTCCATCGTGCTGAAAGAGCTTCTTTCCGTCTGCTATCGAAAGATCTAGGCAGATGACTTACAGTCGAGGCATAGATCACGAGACATCTGCCTGGCAGCAGGGGATACTAGATAGCGGCGCAGTACGCGGCTGTGAAAACCCAAGTGCCAAGGCTGCGTGCCAGCTCCGCAGACTCCCAGACAGGACATCGAGGCTCGTGTGTCCAGCAACTGAGACCTTAAAAAAGCAGAATCTGGAAAGCGGGGGCAAATGACGCCTCCCCTTGAAGGAGGATCCTCGGGCAAAGTTTCCGAGACCAGCCATGGAAGGCCGGGGCATTTCGGAAGTGGGTCGGGCGGCTGGGCGGTTGGCTCTCTCTCAATTCCTTTGATTCTTTGGGTCAGGAGAGCCGCCTCACCGCAACCGGAGCGCTGGAAGCACTGAGGGGCAGAACCTTCTCCCGGAAAGCTCTGCACCGTTGGCTGAGACCGCCGCGGTAGCGGCACAAAGGCCCTGTAGCTCGCAGCTTCGTTCTTGTCTCGCCGATCCGTGTCTGCATCGGCTGTGGGCTCTAGAATTCACGGTACCATCACCGCCGCGACACCTCATTCCCAGAATTCCTGCTCTCGTCCGACCACTGCGACGACGCGTAGGACTGCCAAAACATGTCCAACAAGGGGGTCCCTAACTTGTTTTGGACCTTTTCTTGCATGTCACCCGTAGAGCCAACTACTGCAAATTCAACCAGAACTAAGAGCGTGTTAGTCTTGGCCACCATTCTGAAGGCTATCAAGTCTTGAGAGAGCAGGTTGGCCGGCTCCGGCTGAGATGATCGTAAGGTTTCGGGAACGTTCCGTGCGTCAGGAAAGGGAAAGGGGTCTTGGAATCAGTTCAGAGCTCTGAGACACATGACAGTGTTCATCCATGTGCAAAGGATGTTGCAAAACACGGGTACATGTTCCCACCAGCAGAACTATCAGTGCAGGTCGAAATCGTTGTGGCAGCTAGCGGGGCTAGAATCGGCTCACGCAAGCGAGCGCGCAAGCGAGCGGCCGCCGCACTGTTCGTGGGATGGGAATGTGCATAAACAGGCTTCTGGCCCCATGTGGTTGACGAGTGTAACGTGCGGACCAAACAACTGATGGTCTTCAGGAAGACCCTTGCTTGGTATTCGATTACGACCTGCTAAAAACACAGGGAGAGAGACATGCATTTGACAGTTGGTCGGACGGTGGCACTTTTGCGCCAGACAGGACGGGACTGCTGCCTTACCTGTACAAACCAGGGCAAAGTCAAAGTGCAGCCTTCCCGCCCATGCACACATCTCGATTGGCAAGGAAAGACTACGCTGCACTTTTGAGTTGAAGCGTGTCCGTGCAGTGCAAGTTTGCTCTGCATCCTGCCCTGTTGCTAGCAGTGGAGAGTAGAGGTTTGCATAGGTGCTTTTATTTTGTAGGCATGCTGTCAAGTCTTACTGTGTAGGAATCCGCCTGTAAACTTGTAAACTGGGCGCAGTTGATCGGGAGGCACCACTGGGAGTTCCGCGCGACCACGCTGTTTCTCGTCGTCTGCTGTCTGGAGATCAGGCTCTTTGCACGGGCATGCCTGAAACAACCTAGTGCATGCCAGGTTGGCAGTTTGCAGAGATCTGCCTTAATCTTGATACGGGACTCATGCCTCCCGTCGCGAGACCCGCAAAATTATTGAGAATGAAGTGTAGACTATGGTAGACTGCACAATCTTTGGGGGCTGGGCCAAACCATCACTACTGACCTTCTGCATCCCCAGCTACCTCCTCTCCGATGTCGTAGCACTGATAGCAACCCCCGCTTGTTCGGAACATGAGTTGCACTTGGCCGAGCCCTCAGTGACCTCATCTTCGCCGTCGACTCGGTGAGCGCGATCGTGGCACAGGTCAACGATCTGTTCCTGGCGTAGCCGTCTCAGATGTGCAGTGTTCGTGAGAAGCCAGGGAGGTCGGGTGCACACGATTGTTTGGCCGGAGCAGCACACCGCCCGAGTCAAAGCACTACTTCAGGTACACCTCTGCAGTCTTTGCGATGCTGGGCCTGCGCGCAACATTCTTCATCATCGCCGCTCGTTCAAACCCCTTGTTGCGCAAGCCATCGAGAAGTCGGAGCGGATAACGTGTTTTCTTGGTCAGCCTGATATTATAGCTCGCCTGACGATGCCCGAGCCCAGCCTGCCAGTGATTTGGCGTTCGGTAATTTTTGGGTAATGATCACTTGCCTTTGGACTCGGTTCCCAGGAAACAGTGAACGCTCTGGAAGATCAGTGGCTCAGGACGTGCTCGTCCACATGTTCGAGCTTCTCAAGTACGGAGTCGCGGCAGTCTCTCGACGGCAAAAAGCACACAGACTAGGCTAGGGCAGGCTGGCAAATGGGGTGAAGCTGCGAAGCTGGGAGAAAGCCGTATCACGTCAGGCCTGGCACGTGCAGTTTCTCGCTAGGGCTTGACACACCACGCCTGGAGTGACACGACCCAGGAGTCAGGAGTGCCACAAGCGAGAGAATTAGGGTTTAGGGTTTCGGATCATGGTTTAGGGACTAGGGTTTATAAGTTCAGGTTTTCGGGTCTGGCAGCTTCCCTGCTTGTTTTGTCGATTTTCCCCGGCAGGAGCTCGGGTCGATGAAGGGCCCCTCTAGCCTAAACACTAACAGAGGATTGCTACACGTGGCTGTGTCGCCGTACCTTCGATGGTCGACCCTTGGCATTGAACAGACGCGTAACTGACGCGTAACAGGTGCTCATCTTCATTGGAGTGAAGCTCATTCTGGCCCACCACTACACCATCGAGCCAGCGACTGGGCTCTCAACAGCCCAGTGATGCCAGTGTGTTCAACAGTCCCAGCAAAAGACAGAGGTTTCACACAGCATTGAGCTCGAAACCCGAAGCTTCTGCAAGCCTGTTGCAGCACACTGTGGTCCTGGTCCTCATCGGCTGCATCGGGGCCTCCATGGTCGCGTCGGTGATGAAGGCATGAGACAAAGAGTTCTCCTCTGTGTGTTCTGCTACCTTTGGAAGAGGTCCAGTCGAAGGTGATAGAACATCACGCCGCATGACCTCAGCGTGATCATCAGCATCAGCATCATTGTCATCATCATCATCGTCATCATCAGCATTAGCATCAGCATCATTATCATTATCATTATCATCATCATCATCATCATCATGATCATCATGATCATGAAATTAACTACACTCACCGTGTCGTTCAGCATCTCTGGTTCATTCAGTTTTGTAATTTGCTCAGCTGAGCATGAGTGTTCCAAGAGATCACACAGGCCCGATCGCCACGATGTTCTGTGAGCTCTACCCATAAACCTATCGAGGCAGAGATGGAGAAGAAAATGCAGGGCCACGACCCGGAGGCCTGCAGCAGGGGTGTCTCTGACACAGAGCTTTCACTTTTGGCGGCACCTTCCAACCTGAGTGGCCCTCGCAGAAAAATCATCCCTTTCTCCAGGACGTCGCCAAGCGTGTGGAGCAGGCACCCGCATGCGAAGGGCCTCGATGAATCTCGTGGATTCAGGGGTAATTCCAAGCGGACGGGGCTGCATCATTAGGAAAAGAAGCTGCATAAGCTGTTCAAAGAAGAGGTTCATTTGACTGAACAGGCGGTTTTGCCGGTGTTTCTGCCTTGTGTTCGTGTACCATCGCAACTAGAAAGGAGTGCTTAGGTGTGTGGCAGATGGTCGGCGTCCAACAGACGGCCCCCGGGCTTTCCACGGCAGTTGCTCACCACCCAGCATCTCTGGAAGGTCAAGGAGAAGACATCTCCTTTCACTTCGCCCTACGCGTGCTTCAGTCAGCAGTGGTCATGTTATGCTGGTGTTGTGTTGCATGGCCTGGCGGCAGGGTTGGGTTGTTTCGAGAAGTATTCGGGTGGATCCACTCCAATGTACGAAACACAAGTATTCGACCTCGGCTGTCGCTTGGGTGAGAGAGCTCCAACTTCGGAGGGCCCGGGATGCAACCTGCCGCTTGGAAAGATCAGGCTGCATAGTGGCATCAACCCAGAGCCTTGGAGCCTTGGAGCCGGGAAGTGTGAGAGTTGATGGAGCCAGAGGCCTGCAGCCCTGCCTACTCAGCGCGCCTGCTGAAGTCTTGGCCTGGCCTGCGTTCCGTGCTTCACTGTCTCCGCAGAGCTCCTGCAGAGAGCGACAAGTTTCATGGCCTCATAAGACCGCGCCGGTGCTACGATAAAGGAGCCAGGAGTGCAGGGAGGATCTCAGGTGATTTACGGGAACTGCAAGCCAGGCTCCATCAGGCTCCTTCTTTAGTTGCCAGGTCGTTGTTTAAGGTCCTCCTTCAGACTTTCTGAAATGCTCCTGTGTGCGCGCCGGGAATAAGAGCCAGACCGCTGACGCTCTAGCTCACCTTCTGTGACTTCTGTTGTCGCGGACCAGAAGTTTCTGAACTTGGAGCGAAACAGGGCCGAGGGCGAGCGCGCAATGTTAGGCCTCCAGGTTTTATTTGAGGTGTCCTTAAGTGCGACGACTTGTTTTGTACACGCTCTGGGACCTCCCAGTGGTGTCGTGCTGCCGGCTCCGGCTCCCAGGCGATTTCGTAGGTTTGGCCGTCAAAGCTTCTCGACGGCCCAACTTCCTTTTGACGAGCCGCATAGGCCATAGACCACCACGACCTGACCAGCACGCCCGCTAACCTCCAGTCTAGAGCTGGAAGATCAGGTTTCAGACCCTAATATAGGGGCCTTGATAAGTGGAATAGGGTTTTGGGGCCCAATATGCTTTGATTATAATCAGGGACCCCCAAAGTAGTATGGGTAACTATTTAGGCCCCTATATTACCGGGGCTTAGAGGAGTTTTGCGATTCCTGCTGCCGGGCTCCGGTGATTTGGAGCAAGCAGCCATGGCCGGGGCAGACTGCAGCAGCTGACATCGCTCTGCTGGCGTGCCGGCGTGTTCGCGTGTTGTGGATGATGTGACTTGGCAGGGCTAGCAGTAGAACGTAGCGATGCAAGAGATGTACCGGAGCTCAGGCCCCTGGACTGAAAAGCTTTCAATGTTTCGCTCGAAACTATGTCGAGCCTGTCGTCAGATGTGCGTAATCGAAGCTGTGACATGCCCGTCAGCGCAACATCTCACAGGGAGCACACCAGCTTAGGACTTCTCGGCTTAATGCATCAATCGTCCCCGACACGTCCAAGGACACATATTTCCGGATGTGCTCCTTCTGGGATGGCCAAGGCGACGTTTGTAGCTCAGGCTTCAGAAGCTTGGGGCCGTCGGAAGTCGGAAATCGGAATCTCGGTTTTTGTGGCGCTAGGGTCTATCGCACTCTTACGCGGAAGCTGGCCCAGGCTTTCTGACTCTGCTATGAAGACTATGGGTGGACGAGCGATCATGGTTCAAGGGGCATGTTGAGCATCGTTTGCTGTCTTATCGCTTTGCAGAATATTCTGAAGAATCCCCATACCGCCCGTCAATCTCAGTCGAGCCTGGGGATGTCCGACGCTTCTGCAACGGCCGCCTGGTGCCCACGGGAGCTTCCCAGGCGGGGTGTCGGCTTTGCTTTGTTTTCAACCGCCCGAATCTTCGCGCGGGTCTTTGGGAGGCCGTCCCGGGGCAGCCTCTGATCTTCGGCCCCGCGGAGGATGCCATCGAGGCCACGAAAAGGGCTCCGCTCTGGGAGGGATGCTGCAGATGCTGCACACGCTGCCTTGACTGCGATGTCGCGGAGGAGGATGCTGACGATGAGGATGGTGAGGACCATGATGATGATCATGAGACGTACCGTAGGTGCAGCGACGGGCTTGGTACAGCTTGCTTGGCTTAGATCGATCTTGCACTCGCCGTCCGGGAAGATGCTTCAGAGAGCCGTCGTCATGACCTTCAGAGTCAGAACCAGACTTAAACAAGGCGCAGAGCGCGGCCGTGGGGCCCAGTGGACGGGAGGTGCCAACCATGGTTGCGAGAAGGGTGTTTGGGGTCTACGCGCAGGCTATTCTTTCACGAGGCTGCTGCTGCGACATGGGCCCGGTTGTTTACAATTTCGATGCTGTTCCAGGCAGCTGGGAAGTCTAGTCTAGTGAGACCTTTCTGGTGTCGTCACAGGGGGAAGCCGTCGGACACAACTGTTCCCTCCAGTTCCGGACTGAAACTTCAGATTTTCATGATTTGTGCTGGCTGGAAAGCTTGATCACATGCTTACGTGTAGTTGAGCACACATCTCAGCAGCATGAGCAGAATCCGAGGGCCTCTTCTAGTCGTGAGTGACGTTCACCCCGGTGCCAGCCCGGTACCCAATAAGCAGCGGTAGCAAGGCAGCTCCGAAACTAGAGGGTCTCAATATGTTTCAACCCTCGACAGTCGTAGTAGTTCACAACAAGCAAAGATGTCGTATCTCTAAAAGCCCCTTTGTTTTGAGAACATGTCCAAAGGCTTGCGGGAGAAACATTCTCTGTTCAAGCCAGCACTTCGTGTGTGGCACAGTCATCGCATGACCGAGCAGTGAACAAGACACAGGCAAGCTATTAGCTCGCAATACTGTTCCATGAGCCGCGCTGCATGACGAACAAGCTGCAGACAGAGTCTGTTTGGGACAAGAAACACACAGACTTGTTGTGCTGTGTGCTGGAAAATGTTCTCAGCTGGAAATATGCAAAAGTCAAGTTGTAAAGTTTGGATGTCCTCCAAAACCGATATAGCCCTCGCTTTGTGCTGACATCGTTGGTTTGGCTTCGATTACCGATGCGTACATGTACATAAAAACACACACACACATATATATATATATACACACACACATACTTACACTTACACGCACACACACAATATGTGCACTTGTTCCGAACATGAATGCAGTGTGTGTACACGAGGCCATGTATGTAGAAAGGATCGACAAGCGCATGTGTCTGTACATACATATACAGACACACACACACACATATACATATACACATATACAGATATACATATCTATATATCTATATATATATATATGTGAGTATATTTACATACAGTTTGGCTCTTTACATACAAATCTGGGTACTTCCCTGTGGCCTCGGAGGCCTTCCTGGACCATTGGATCGTGGGTGTGTACAGCTGCGCGAGGAGGGGCTCATCGGCTAGTTTTATATGATTTTATGTTATGTTATGTTATGTTACTGATATTATGTTATGTTATGTTACATTATGTTACATCATGTTATATGAAAATTGATGCGAGCAGGGTTTAGGCTAGAGGATCTTTTCCCCACCTCTGCCCCCCCCCTCACCCCAAAAGATTTATTTGTCAGGACGTTCCGGGCTGGGGTTTGCTTAATTCGATGGACAGTAGACTGGTACGTTTCAACAGTCACGATTCATTCATTGCCGTGCCATGAACTGAAGCAAACCTAGCCGTGAGAACATGCTTCCGTGTTCCGTTCGGACCACGGCCGGCTGAATCGTTTGTTGAGTGCGTGCTGAGCCCTGGCACGGATGCAGGTGCCGTAGACAGCTGTATCCATCCTCTTCAAAGTGGTGTGGCACTTGGTGGAGCCCAGTAGTCAGTGCATGTTAGACCCATGCTGCCGGATTCGAGGGTCATTGCTGTGGCTGTGAGCATTCACTGTCCCATGTGCAACGTTGTAGGAAGAGCAAAGGCAAGGTCCCTGTGCTTGGCCGTCTTTTCGGGCACCGATTTCGACCACGGCCCCTGTGCTGCAAGAAGAGTGCTTGCTCAGACATCGGTAGCTGGAACGTAGCTTCACGGTTAGTTCGCACGATACGGACTGGTGCTGTTGGCTTGGGTGCGAGTTCTTTCTAGGACGGCAAACCACACCAGCATGCCTGCCGAAGCCACAGGCTTTGCGAACGCGCCCTGTCGTCGGATATGGGAGCCACCATGAAGCATTCAGCTCGCCTTTCATTAGCAGCATTAGCATTCTGTGTTGGCAGCCGAGTCGCAAGTGCAGTCCTTGAATGCATGCTGCATGCCGTTGTTTCGTCAAAATGCATTGAAGTCGTGTTTCGGTGAGTCCCTGTTTGATGCTGCTAAGGCTACAACTGTGCTGTAGCAGAGCTTTACTGCGAGAGCTGCCAGTTGTTCATAGGCGCGGCCCTCAGCGTTCTGGGAGTGCTGAAATGTTGTGAGTTCGAGCACCGAGCCGCGACCAGGCCACTGCTTCCAAGATGCCTTCCAGCTGGGTGACAAGGCTGGGCATTACGGATTACAGTGCGCTGCAGAGGATCAGTCGACGCCGTCACAGCTTGCACTAAAGGTTACTACAATGTCAAGGGGTGAAGTTTGAAGCCACTGGACCCATGGCCACCAGAAGAAAAGAAACACCACTAGCACACAGTACCACAATCCTAGCGCATCCTAGCGCTTGTTTCTCCCTCCGCGTAAGGAAGGGGCAAAACATCACCATGTTCTAAGCATGCTCCGCGTGTCCCATACTTGATACACTGGCAGGGCCCGGAGAGCACTGGCTGGCGCCACTGAGTGTTATCGCGCTCGCTGCGTTTCGAAGCGCAAGCGAGCTTGTAAAGGGTGGCCGTGAGGTTTCAGCGTTGTGCTATGCGATTGCAGCATATTGACAGGGCTATGGTGATTCTGATTAGTTGGTTTTGGTAAGATTAGCGAGGTCGTGTCGGTGCCAGCAGTGCCGCGCCAGTAGAGTTCCGGGCTCAACGCTGAAACTTCAAACTCTGCTGCTCCGCTGAGCGGCTTGCTCGAGACAACGGCTAGAGGGCTTTCTTGCCAGGAGCCGGGGCCTTGGTTCTGCAGAAGGTAGGATTATGCCGGTCAGGGGGGTGAGGGGGTCAGGGGGGGGTTTGCGTCTTGCGAAGGAGGCGAGAGAGGACGAGGTTTGAGGAGCTAAGGGTGGCTCGAGTTGTGGCTGGCAGTTGAGGTGTCATGTCCAGAGCCTTTGGTGCAAGGTCATCTTGCGCTGGTGACATTGACGGCCATCCTGTGAGGGTGCTTCAGGTCTTTGGAGTTCGCAAGAGGGAGCTCGCAGGACATCCCTTGGCCCAGCAGTCCAACTGTGCAGTCCCATCATAGTGACACGACCATTTTGTCGATGTTCCTGATCTTGAGACGGTACTTGACCTGATTTTTTTCTTTACGGCCTGGAAGTGTCGCTCGAACCTGCATGCAGGGGATGCCTGGATGCACCGTTAATGAAATTTATCTGAGGCGTGCCCTCTTAGCTTCATGAAAATGCCGCGGACAAACTGAGCAAAGTGGAATGATCCTAGTTTCATGAAGCTGTGCTGTGGTTGCGGTTGTCACCCCTGCGTGAGTTGAAAACATCTATATGCCTGGCCGTAGAAGCTTCCGTTGCGACTCGGCGGATTTCGCCAAGTCGTTCCAAGTCATATGGGGGTTTCCGAAAATAGGGGACCCTAATCTAGGACCCTAAATAGTAGGATCCTTATTATAAGGACTCCAAAATAAGTTAGTTTCCTCGCCAGCGCGAGAGCCGCTTCGGAGCCGGCTCCTTGAGATCCGCCCATGCTTGTCCGCGGAAGCCCAGGGGGGCAGGGCCGGAGGGAGGTTGAGGGGGGGAGGGGAGCGGCCTGGGGAAGGGTAATACCATAGACGGCTTCAGTGAGCTTCGTGCAGTCGGTGCAGACCTGAAGCAGCACAGTTTCTGCCCGTGGCATGCTGCATGATACGAGCCCGGGGCCCAAGATCCACACACTCGATTGAAATGTCGAGAGCCGCAAGCACGAAGGACGAAGCAGCAACAATCAGCATCTGCAAGCCGAGTATGCAAGACTGTGGATTCCGTCGATGGAAGGGGCTCTGAATGAGGTAGCATCCACACGAAGCCTTCTTAGTGCGTGGCCTAGCCATTCAGTCCCACCGAAGCCCTATGACCACCAGATGCGACCCCGATGCAATGAAGTAAGCAGTAGGGCGGCGAGCCGCTCGTGGGCCATCTATCAAAGCCATGCTGCCGCTTCCACAAGTCAGGCCCGAGGACATCAAAGGCCTTTCAGGGGAGAGTTGCAGTGTGCGGCGACTAATATTGTCCTCCGCCCCGTAGCTGCGCCCCTGGTATCCACATACCGATACGTTTGGACCAGATTTTTAGACTTTTGCAGTGGCTGAGCTTCCCCGCGCCGGACCCCCTGTGCATGACCCTCCCCACCCTCGCCCGCACCCTGCCTGCTTTTTTTCCAACTCGTTTTGAACCCCTCAGTTGGAGTTTGAAGCCGCAAGTATTGCGACAAAGCTTGTGATTCCCGGGTTGGAAATGTCCCCACTCTGCTTCTCTCGTGATCGCTTCCTGCCAGGCTTCGCCAATGCCCCGATCTCAGCACTAGTCTTTTGCTGAGGCGCTCACCGTTGTCGTTTTAGCCAGTCAGCTAGGAGTCGGAAAGGCCTGTTGAGACAAAGAACGCTGTTGCTCACGTGCTCGTCGTGACAGAGAGGCTGCAACTACAGAGCTGGGGGGCATTTGAGCTGCATGTTCTCTTGCACGACCGGTTCTGGCCCTTCACGACACAGCCTTGCTTGTTGCTGCATCTTTCGGGTTTGGGTCCGCCGTTCCTTGGTCATCCCTAGGCAACAAAGGCTCAGGCTCGAATCGAAAGGCTTCCCCTCGTAAGCCAAGTCTGGACGTTCGCAGCAAGGTCATTGCCCGGCTGGCAGAGCTAATGTGGGCTCCTCAGGAGGTTCAGCTTGGCACATGCCAACATGACATGAAGGCTGTGACGGCTGCACGCAAGGTCATTGGCTGCCTTCCTCCCTGTGGTGTTTCGAGGCCCGGACCAGCCATTCTGTGAGGGAGATGGTTTCTGACAAAAGCCGGGCACAGAAAGCCTTGAAACGAATGGAAACGGCTGCCCATAGGGAGTATCGACGCAGGGCGGATGAGCTTCACGGCAGCCCGAACGAGGCCGGATGGTTTGCGAAAACAGTCACGTGGTTGGGCAGTTTCGTCATGAAGTGACCATGCGATTGGAGTTGGCTCGAGTTGCTGGGAACGGAGCGACATGCTGGAAAGGACGGCTGCTTTGAAGGCGGCCGAGTCGGCCGAGCAGAGGACCAAACAAAAACACGGTGACGTCCCGCTGAAGCGTTTGGAGCGCCTTCTGTTGCCTTCTGCTTCTCGTGAGGAAGACGGACCAGAAAGCTGCCGGCAACAAAGATGACAAGGACGAGCTGCATGGAGCTGAGGTTTGCGCTTCTGCATCTGACCCCGGACCGCTTGTGAGGACGACGCCGTTGCTGAGGAGCAGGAGGCCTCGTGCGACAGATTGCGCCAGAAAATGCCATGCAGAGGATCTGGTTGCAGGGCATTGCAGGGCCTTGCAGTACACGGGCAGACAGCAGACAGCATCGGAGATGCTCTGCTCGAGGCCCCGGTGCAGGGTGCCCCTACCGGCATCTTCTGCCTGCTGCTGTGCTTGGCCTCGGAGGCACCCCGTCTTTCGGGCCCTTCAGACCTGGGAGCACGCCCGGGTCCAGGATTAGAGTACAGTGCCGGGTTCGAGTGCCGCTTTCGCTTCAGACTCACAAAGAAGGGTACCGTGGAGAACGGTTGGACTCGATCGTCGTCATTTCGTGGCAATGGTTTGCCTGTCGGGCTTCGCTCGAGACTACGGGAGGTTCAAGATGCCCCAGGGACTAGGCTAGGTGCTCTCGCGTGGAAGAGTCTGGCCTCGGACCATTGCTGCAGATCAGACCATGTCTCGGACTGCATGGAGTCCTAGTCCTAGCATATTCTGGGTCAAATCATGGCGGCTTTTCTCCTTATGCCAGGTTCTTCGTGGCCGTGGCTTGTTTGTGCCTGTGGGATCCCAAGTCAGACGCAGACACGTTGCTTGTGTGACAGCCGAGAAGTGAAAGCGCAAGAGTCCGTTTCGTTTGGCCGGAGGCTGCATCGGCCTCCAAGGCCCTCCCAGGGCAGAAGAGGGCAGGTTTCGTTGGAGGGTCGTCCGAGGATGAAGGGCTGTGCTGGAGCTTGGTAGTTTGGGGACGACGGATCCGGAGGTGGACTTGATGTCAGCCTGTAGCCCCACGGAACGAATGCGAGTGATCCGCACTTTTCGCTGTAGGATCTCTTTCCGGTGAGCTGGATGACTGGCCTTACTCCTTGAGCTTCATATATTTACATACCGCTTGCGTGTCACGTCCTCCTATGCCCAGAGATTTGTAGTCCAACCCGCCATGCCCAGGACTCACCCGTCCTGGTAGTCGTCGACAAGCTCAAGACGGTGGCGTGCGGGAACACAAGAGACTGCAGAAAAGCTTTTCGACGGCTAAGCCTCCTCAGGGATTTTGTTACGAATTGTGTTGTGACGGGAGGCCAGAGAGCTGCTTTTTACTGCGCATGCGTGGTCTTTTGAAGACTGAGACGGCCCTAGACGGAACGGCACTGTGCAGGTGGGCCAAAAGCTTCAAAAGCGGCACAGCGACATCCTGGAAAAGAGCATTCTGGACACGCTGTCAGCTGACTGGGTTTTGTGGTGGTATTTGTTTCATATTGAGGGTTCCTTTGAGGGTTCTTTTAAAGGGTTCCTTGCAGGGTTCTTCTGAGGGTTCTTTAAGGATTCCGAGACCTCGGCAAAATCCAAGCCACAAGACGGCCTGAAGCAGCTCTACAGAAGCCCTGAAGCCTGCAGAAAAAGCTCCCAGAAATTATGCCCCCAAAAGCTTTGCGATCGAGAAACTTTCAGGAAACTTTGTCAATAATCTAAACCCTAAGACGGCTTCGTTGAAAATCCAACCCTCAAGACGGCCTTAACCAGCCTTTTCCAAGTATTGCAGCTTTCACGCAGCCCTGAAACCCCTGCGAAGCCTGCCAGAAGCCCTTAGTTATAATGCCCGTAAAAACTTGTCATCGAGAAGCTCGTAAGCTCTACGTTGCAACGGTTTGTAAATATGCCTCCGCGAACGTTCCACGATGATGTTGCGAAAGTAAAAGAATGCTTTCGCGAAGAAGTGTCTTCCGGGATGAAGCAGTTTAGATCAACAGCCATATAAATGCGGGTGCGCGGGCCAGACATGGGCTCCAGCAGGAGCGGGTCAGCTTGGCCTTCGCTGAGGTCCTGAAGACGCAGCAGGTGGCTTCGAGCTGTAAGTGCGCTTTACGCATTGGGGTTTGATGCAACCTCTTGTTGTGAGCGGTTTGAGTGATGCACCCAAGCAGTTGGAATGACTGACGCCTTCTTGTGGTTGTGGAGCCGTGAGCGACGCAGTGATCTTTTGAAGGAGTGTCGCCTTCGAATCTCCCAACTCCTGCGGACCAGGTCTTTGAAACGATCCACAGCCTCGTGATGATCTGTCGGCTGTGCCAAGGGTTATTATATACAGGGGGCTCAAGGCTTTCCAGGGCATGCCGGAAAGATCAGAGATGGGTTTTTGTCGAGGAGCTCTGATTAGCAAAACTTTTGGTCCCCACAAAGTTGGGTGCTTGCGCTCGCACACATACATGGGTAGTGATCTGGTGGGTAAAGGTAACAGGTAGGTTGATTAAGTCAGAACCGGGCATGAGCCAGCTGTGGCAGCAGATACCGAGTTACTCCAACATGTTGAAACTGTGGTTTGCAAGCTTCAAGTGGCCCGGGTCAGCTTCCGACGCCTGGGTCTTGTTGCCAGGTCTGGCAGTGGCGGCACTCCTGAATGCCGTCGCCCAGCGTTGAATATCTTGTGTGACTAAGTTTTTCAGGCCAGTGTCCCTGTTCAGCCCTACTCCAGGGTGGAATACCAAGCCATGCAACTTCAATGCTTTTTGAAGCCTCCAGAGAGAGAGGGCCTTCTCTGAGGCAGTGTCACTTGGGCTGCCTGCAATCGGCCAGATCTTCGCAGGGAAGCGGCAGGCAGACCGTCCTCGTGATCGTGGAATTGGATTCGGACCTTCAGTCAGTCGCCAATTCTGTAGTGGAGACCTCTGAGCTGCATTCAATCTGGCTTTGTTTGTCTCGTGCGGAAACCTGTGTGTCGGTTTGCCCCAGGCAGATGCTGAAAACTTGGCACAAGTGGCTGTTGTCATGTCACTGGTAGTATAAGAATCATCTCTGGACTTCGGTTCCGCAACCTTCCTGTTTGCGTTGCGTCGCTGTACACCAACGAGGCATCGTCGTCAAGGGCACCTTTGCTGTTCGCCGTCCTGTCGGTTGTGCCCTTTGGCAGCCGAAGGGTGAGAGGGCCCCCACACTCTTCTGAACCCGAATTGTGATTTGGAGATGGCTGGACTCGGGGAGCTTTCCTTGAGCTTTCCCCTGAGGCCCGTAGCTATTTTTGGCTATGGGCATTTCGCGAACCTGCTCAAGGCCTGACCTCTTTGCTGCAACGATCACAGCTTGCGATGCACACAGGAGACGTCAGATCCTGCAGGTGGCTTATTGCATAGAGCAAAGCTTGATCTTGTGAAAACCCCGCCCCAGCACATTTACAGCATTTGTCTAATTGCCTACTAAAATCACCATCCTGACACACAAAAACCGAAAGCACCCCCTTACCCCAGACCTCACTGCCAGGCCCTCCGGTCTGTTCCACAGCTTCCCGCCTTGTGTGACGCCTCCTTCTTACCTTCACAATTCGCCGGTGTGTGAGCCAAAGTCAGACTCAATGCGCCTGCGGCCTTAGGCCCTGCAACACGCATTGCGGGTTGCAGCAGTCGTCGTCGCCGATGCCGTGCCCTCCTTGTGCTGGAATGTGCAGCTTGCTGGAGTTGGCATATATCTTTTGCAGGATGTGCAATGTCTCGAGCCTGCGAGAATTAGGACGGAACGCCCGCTGGCTTCGCTATGTTCCAGGCCAGGCAGCGCTGCGCCGCATCTTGCGGGTTCAAGTTCAACTCACAGAATTTGCAGGAGTTGCAGTCAGGTTCGCAGGGCAGTATGTTGAACGGGTTGAGTATGGCTGATCATGATTATGTGGAAGAGCAGGAACAGATGGTAGGATTGACTTGTGCTCACTGTGTGAGCTTATCAGCATAGACTCCAAACTGCACCCCTCCGCCCCTTCAGAAAAACACATCCTGTAAGAAAACAAGTGGTCGGCACTCAGAGGCTGCCTCCTTGCTGACTCGGATCTCGAGCGAGGCGAGACTACCGGGGGTTTTCAAAATCAGCTCAGGCGGTGTGAGGTGGTGTGGAACGTGAGTGCTGCACGAGTGCACTGAGTGTCCGCAGCACCCGGGCACGGATTGCTTAGGAGTAGTGGCGCGAATTTCTCTTTCTCGAGGGCGAACGCCTGCACGGTGACGGCAGTCGAGCCACGAGAAGTCCAGGGCTGCTTGAAGTTCGCAAGCGGGGCCTGATCTAGATTTAGATCTGGAGCTGTAGGAGCTCGGCCGCTTGAGGGGACAGAAAACGTCCGGCTCCGGGGAGGGTTTCTTCTCCGGCATTCCCCTTTCTCCTTTCTGCCTGATTTCCAGGTCGCTTCTGGGAGGCTGGCGGAGGTGGCTTCTTTTGCCACAGTTAGCAAATCCATGCAACTACAGCACCCTGGAGGCAATTGCGCCCATCCGTGCCAAGCAGGACTTTTGGAGCTTGCTGGACAACTCGACCGCAACGTCGCTTCGCTGCATTCCTTCGGGCTTGACATCCTGAGGTCAGGTCCCGATCCAGAGAGGTTGCATCTCTTGAAGAAACCACCTGTGCGTGTTTTCACCACTTGCGGATTGTCTCGTGGACTCTCGAGGCATGGGCTGATCAGTCTTCTGGGCACTCTCTGGCTGGCCTTCGGCCACTTGCGGAGGCTGCGCTTGAGCACGGTTGAGCCGATCGTGTCAAGGTAGGGTGTCGTCTTAAAGAGGGCCAGCCGGGTGCTTCAGTTCAGGCTTGTGGTCGTAGCAAGCGCCACCTGGGAACACGAGACTTGCAACCGGCAGGTTCGGATACGTGAACCATTGTGAAATACCTTTGGCCAGGCACAGTGCGCTGTTGGCTGGAATGGCGCTACTGTCCATCGCCGCCTCGCCGGTGACGCTGGCGTTAGGATGGCCCGAGGCCCTCTTCTGCTTTGTTCTCAACATGAAGGACGGTTTAAAGTTTAGAAGTAGCATCGAATCAGCCTGGAGTTGGTCGGCAAGATGGTTTTTGCGGCTCCCTGCGGCAGGGGAGGCGGTAACATAAGGTCGTGTCTTGCTTCCCGACGTTCCATCCCCCACCCCAAGGGCCAAGGTCGTGGTCAGTAGTCAGTACCAGTGCGCCAATGTTTGCTGGAGGCATCAAAGCTATTGGGCTTGCCGACCAACGAAGCTCACCCTGAGCGAGGCAGGGGTTGGGTCTATAAGGGTTGCCATGGTTGCTCGATGCCGCGAAGGCCACGAACGCTGTCTTCAGGAAGGTTCTTGCTGAGGAGGTTGCTGTGGTTTTGATGTGGTCGTCACCGGGGCGAACGTATTGTTGTTTTAGCATTATTCAAGGATCTAGTCGTGCCACCACTCCAGGATTGGGTTGTGCTGTTTGCTGCCTGCGTGGAGTGCTTGAGGGTTCCAAGCTGAACTGATAGGCCAGCCTTGCTCGTAACACTTACCATCACTTACCCAGGCTCCCCGTGGGCTTGTAACAGTGGCGGCGCCCAATCCATCGGGTGCATCTGCAAATCAAAGAAATGCCTTGCCTCACCTAAGAATCCTATGATATCCTGTGATTTTCCTGTCAACGCAGGGCTGCTGCGGTTCACTTCGGTCCTGTATGCCGGCACCGCTGCAGCCACGCTCCTGTCGGGAGGCACCCGTCCTTAGTCCAACGAGAAGAGGTTGGAGAAGCATGTTGAGAGCCGCAGCTTCGTGCTGTTTCTCTTGCAGACCCAGCAGAAGCTGAAATAAAACGCTCACAAAAAACCGCTCGTGTTCACCAGGCCTTTTGAAGGCATCCTGCCGCACAGATGAAACACTTCCAGGGACCCGCAAGAGCAGCCTTATCGCTCAGAGCACGAGCTCTGTACAGCTTCGTCACCCGGAGGTACTGTGGGGATGCTGTCCGTGATGCTCGTGTTGCAGCTGGTAGCAAGGCCGGTGAATCAGGGCTGCCACTGCTACAGGGTTTTCGGCTTTCGGGTGCTTTGGAAGACCTTGCAAGGCTTCGATTGCAGATCCTTGAACAGTTCAGCCCAGGCCTGCAATCCGCACTAATACGAAAGTGTCAGAAGCAACTCCGAAGCAAGAGTATGCAGCGAGATCTCCCTCCCTCACAAAAATGGACCAAAGCAGGAAGGCAACATCACGCTCCCTTCTGGCTCACGCAGTACTTCAGCCAATCCCCAAGTGCGACATCGGAGGATTCACGGAACCGAAGCCTTTGCCAGTCTGTTCTCCTGAGCCGGGCATTGTGAGTGTCAAGAGCAATGGTAGAAATATTGACAAGGATCCGCCATGTTTGAGGTGTGCCGAGCTCTTGGAGTGTGCACAGCATGTCAGAGGCAGGCAACAGTAGGACAAAACCTCACAAAAAGTAAAGTGGCAGTAGCCGGACCCGGGCGCTGAGCCTGAGATAATGCACCCTCCCTCGAAGGGAGCGGCCCGTGCGCCGAGCAAAAAGGCTGTCCTCGTGAACGGATGCAGAGGGCCGGCGAAGGGCCAAGGCTACAAAGAGGAGTGTTGAGTGATGCTCGGATGAAGCTGCATTTGACAGCTTCTTCTCTGCCTGGTTGCCGCCCTGATCCGAGATGCCGGTCCGTGGCCTTTGCCGGCTCAGCAGGAGAGGCTCTGTGCGGCTCGCAGCTTCTTGCTGGCGTGCCTCGCAGCAGGAGGATATCCCAGCACAAGCGACCTGTCATGCTTGTTGAGTCATGAACTCATGATGCGAGCATTACTTTGCGATGGAGGCCTGCCTGGCACACACAACCTTTCACAGAACGCTCGCATTGCAGGAGGATGCATGAGAGACTTGGTGGCCCCCTCAGGGCGTCGGCAGAATCGTTGAGCACACGGTGCACGAAAATCCAGCCGAGCGGCTTTCGAAGCCTTGCTTCGAAGCCACTTCAGAACTGGGGGCAAGTGGGCTTTCAGTCCGAGACCGCTTTCAACGGTTGTGCGGCAGGATGCGGTAGGGCCAGATTTTTGAGGCTTTTGTTGACCGCGCACCCCCTGCGGTGGGCCGGGGCGTGCTCGCGCGTGCGGCGAAGTACTGGTGATGCTGGCATGCGTTATCGACGCTGCCCATTTTTTGCAGCTTTCCTTGTTTCTTTCAGTCTGGAGTCCTTGCTTTCGATCCTTGCTTTCAGCCTCTTGGTACGTGTTCCATGTGCACCAAGCCGCGGTGAAGTCTTCCTCTTATGGAAGATCCAATCTCAACGGCCGCTAGGCTGACATGGGCAATGTTTTCCGCAACTGGCGCCGCAGGCCCTTCGATGGTGTCATTCCTGCATGCACGTGTTCAGGCTTGCGGAAGCCTTGGAATCGGTGGATAGGTCGGGAGCTCCGTCTTGCTTCTGTCAGGCAATGAACCTCAGGGTGCCAGAAAAGCAGGTGCCTTTTGCTTCGCCCTTAGACGGGGTAACGGTATATCGGGTATCGTGCTTATGAGGAAGGTGCACGCTTACTTGAAAAGGACGTTCGGAAGTTCTGTCAACTTCTGGCATTGGATCGAGAGCTGAACTGAGCAAATGCGGGCGGGTGCGGGGACCACATTTTCAGATCCCGTTGCTCAGCCTGAAAAGCAAAGGCCCCTCCTTGCACACACCAAAACAACGCACGAAGCAGGTGTCTGAGTCTCCACAGGCTGGAATGCAACTGAAGGGGAACGTGAGAGGAGATTAGCCAAACGAGAATCAGTTGGGTACCTCCTCGCGCACGTGCAGAGTAGCGGTGCTGCCAGAAGAGTTGGAATGTGACGGGTGCGGCTAGCAGGGGGGAGGGCAATTGACCGAGTAAAGCGAAACGTGCTGAACATTCACCGCTTGAGCTTTTCCCACGTTGTGACCATTTGTGACATGAACAACTCCGGTCAGAGAGCACACAAAGATTCCATGCATCTTGCCATCTTAGAGGCAGTCCCAAGCCGTCCACCGAGGCCATTCCACCCCACCGGTGCTGATGCAGCGGAGAGCTTCGCTGACTAACCGGACAGCAGGCACCAGTGTAGGTCATACATTGATCTCTCCTGTCGCTTGCTGGTGGAGTGCGCAAACTTCGTTGCAGCATTCCGAATTCCAATTTCGTGCATAACATCATTTGTTGCTCGGAGTGTTTGATTAGCATTCTTCCCTCGAGCCGGTTTGCATACTACATAATTAGCACAACATCACACGGCATCCTCTTCTTGGAAGGCCACTTCAACGCGCAAGCATGCAGCAGCTTGTTGTACCTGTTACGGATGTCAATGTAGACTCTCTTGTTCAGTTTCTCTGCATTTCTTCATGCCTCGATGGTCGCATAGCCACATTACTAAATTTCTCACATCATCACCACCGGGCTTTCACATCAAACAAAGTCATCGCAGCAGCACTTGCAACTGCCCATTCAGCCAGAAGCGAAATGCACCTGATTCCGTTGGCTTCTGTCGATCCGAATTAATGTTTCTCACAGTATTCGCATCCAGAACAAGGCACTGGGCCGCCTTCTAGATGGTCGCACATGCGCTCGAACTGAAGCGGCATTCCTTGCTTCGACATGCCGCTTCAATCTCAGGGCTCCTCAAAACTCATAAAACTCCTGAACGAAGGAACATTGGTTTGGTCACGACGCGATCAGAATGCACAGACGTGGGGGGTCACGCTGAGAGCGTTATATCAGATAGTGCGTGACTTCTTTGGCCGCGACACCGGCGGCCTCACCGGCCTCATGCCTCAGGGATCCTCACCGCCCCTCGGGCGGAGAGCGAGCGCGGGCTGTGGCCCGAACCGTGCTGCAGTGTGCCTGACGTGGCAGCTTTAAGATACCCTCCAGCAAAATTGACAGCATGTCGCCGATGCCATGGAGTGATGCTGCAACTGCTGCGAAAGTTTGGTGCCAGTCGGCTCCGCTTCAGTATGGCCCCAGGTCGCTTGGTAAGTACACTACTGTGGAGAGAGAGGGTTTAGGAAAGCAAAGAACAACGAGAGAACACAGCAAAACGAAATGGACGAGCCGGGCGGGAGAAGACGGGAAGGAGAGAGAGAGCGACAGAGCCCGCCTTCTAACTACGTCCGGGAACTAGCGAAAGATCGCTTACAAGCTCCTAACCAAAGCTCTTTTGCTACAAGCTCCTAGCCAAAGCTCTTTTGCTTCAGCAGAACTTCCGAAGGCAACAGCACAGCTTCAGAAGAAATGGGTTGGACCAATTCCACCAGAGCAGCTCGGCGTTGAACGAGCTCGGGTTGTTTGTTTGAGAGACGGGTTTCTCAGGCATGTCGGCATTTGCAGATTGCAGATGGTCTGATCTGGGTTCCCGCGACCATTGGGCACTTGGTGTGGGGGCTCTTGAACGTTTGCTTCTGTTAAACACAGGCATGCATGCATACTGATGTACATAACCAGACAGAGTTCGCACGCCGTCTCTCTCTCTCTCTCTGTCTGTCAGCTTGTGTCTTGGTTGGTCAGTCTGCTTGTTTGCTTCTCGTCCACGGCTCAGGCGGACCGAGCGCTGGTCCAGCTTGAGGTCGTATGGGAAGTGCATGCTGTTTGTGAGTGGTGGCATCGGCGCAGGCATTGTCTCGCGCGACAGGAGGCATTTCAGAGTGCAGTCAGATGGAATAGATGGACACCCGGCCCCATCGGCCGCGGCACGCGCCCGAGATTCTGGAGACCTGCTCAAGTCTGTCTACGGCTCGGTGCCGCCGATGTCGATGTCTCTTAGGAATTTCCTGCATGGTCTGTCATGGTCGGTTGTAACCGCCGATGCAAAAAAGGCTGGGTGGCCATGCTCTTAACTCGGAGCTCCTGGACGAATTCTTCCCTAGTGGATGAGGCCGTTGAAGCTTTCGAATTTTGGTGTCGCCCCGAGAGTCGCCCCACCGAGCTTGACCCAATCTTCAAACACGATGCTTCGGGCCTGGACTCCTAGACAATCCGACGAGGGGATGAAGCAGTGCCCGTTTCAGGTGCGGCGGATCCACGCTTCATCGTACTTCGCGCTGGGTGCCCAAGCCAGGCCTTGAACGCTCGCGGTAGCCTGCGAAGCTTCAGTCTCCAGGCTTAGAAAGGCTTTCGGCATTCTGATCTGGAACTCAGCGCTCAATGTTTTCTATGGCGCGAGCGGAGGTAAGCGGGGCGCGTTTCGCGCACTGAACACTTTTTTTCAAGCTTTTTTGATTGCGCCTAGAAGACAAGGCGAGGTCTCCAAGCCTAGCTTTGCAGCAGATCTCGACCTTCAGTCTTCGATGCCACACTCGGTTCTCCAAAGGTCAAGCCCAGCTGTGTTTCTGATCTTGCTGGCCGCGCTTGGCATCGTGCGCTGCCATGTCTGGGGATTGTGGGGGGGCTCTGTGGTGACTGGTCGTGCCGGATTCCGGGGTTGGATGTGCGTGTCATGGGCAGGCACCGGGCAGTTTGGAAAGATTTGTGCAGATGAGGTCAGCCACTCCGTGCGGCCAGGTGCTCTCAGTGTGCTTGGCCGTCTACTGCCGCTCCGAGCCGCACGGCTGAAAGATTCAATGAGTCAAGACTGACTTCCCAATGTGCCTTTCTGTCTCCGTACAGAACCAGCAGGGAAGGGCTCCGCGGGGCAAGTTGCCACGCACTATCCCGCGGTTCAGAGATGTTCAGATGTTGCAGCGAAGGCAGCGATTCGGGCCTTCCCAGAAGCCCGATCCGGCACCAAGCGAGGCAGGGAATGTGGTGTGCGGTCACCCAGAGCAGGTTCCAGGAGTTGTTCAAAGAAGCATTGGGGGTCAACGGGTCAACAGATACGCCCCATGAACCTGGCGAGCCATGACGAGCCTGAGCTTCTCGACAGAAAATCGGCCTTAACACAGGTCCTCCAGCGGGTCAAGTCCTCGCGGTCGGGTCTCAGCCTCGACCCGCAGCATAAAAGCAGTGGAGTGCGGAGTCTGCAGAAGAAAGTCTTCCATGACGCACTATGACGCTCTCGTTTTTGGCAATGATTCCGCGCTTTGCTTCCTGTTCCCTCAGAGGTCCTCCGCCATCTTTGCTGACATCGCCCGTTGGCAGCCCTTCGTACAGGACCGCTTAAGGCATCGGCTCTGTTCCAGGCATCAGAAATTGAAAAGAGCTCAGAAAAACTGGAACTCTGCCTGCCGCTCCTGTTAGTTGGTCCGTCCAAGTTCCATCTCACTCGCCTGCGCTCTCCCGTGGCTAACGTGAATCCCGTCATAAAGAGAGAAACGAAGATGTGAGAAGAAGCCACAGCACGGAGCTTGCCGTGATGAGAGACAGCCGTCGTCAGATTTTCGGTTTTTCGGACACGTGGATTTCCCCCACCTCTGGCACTTCGATCTTCGGTTTTTTGGCGCCGGCGCAAGGTGTGTTTTTAGTTAGTCTTAGTTAGTGGTGTAATTGTTTTTGACTCTGTCTGCAGTGAGGAAAGCATCTTCCAGCGACACGACAATTCCCAGGACCTGCTAAGCTGAGCAGCCTTGGCAGGGTTTCCTGCATTGCTGTTGCACTCTTTGCCGGGTCGGGGCTGCTCGTGGTATGTGAGGGACGGCTCCCTTCTTGTGATCGCCATCGCCATAACTCTTCCTGATGTCTGCTTTAGGACTCGTTGGCTCTGCCCGCCGGTCACCAAGCGTGGGGTAAACGGCCGCACCAAACCCACATCGAGGGTAAGTTTTAGCGATTCTCCGCTTGCCGTTGTGCCGTGACCCCTTCGCTTTGCCTCTTCAGACCAAGCCCACCAAGCCGAGGTCCTTGGTCGTCCCCAGCGGCATGGAATTGGTGTTTGCAGCCCGGGACCCCAGCCACCACGCCTCCGCCCCTGACTGGTACAAGCGGCTCGTCCGGTGTCCATAAGCAAACTACATGTGCGTTTACCCAAAGAGGCCACAAAGCAAGAACCATCCGTAGCTGCAGCCGAGTTGCAGCAAGAGATGAGTGCCAAGGTCTCAGAGTTGGTCTCTGCTGAAAAGCAGCAGCTTGCGCTGGGCCCCGAGCAACTGAGTAACTGGGCTGGTGGTGTTGGCGCGCGTATAGGGTCGGGCTTCTTGCCAACTGCCAGCACGCATTGTTTGCCATGCAATGGAAGGTTGGAAGGAGTTTGCTGTCCAAGACTGGGGGGACCTGTCTCACTACTCCGCAAGAGTTTACATCTCCTCAGGTTCCACATCGTGGATTTACAAGGTCAGCCTCTGAGCAGAGTGCCTTGGCAAAATGGGTGAAGTGCTTCATGCTGGGGTCGGTGACATCTGCGACTGGTGAGTATCTCAGCAAACTTCTCAATCCAGGTCGTCGTTGACGAGTTCGGCTCGCGTTGCGGTGCGCCCCAGTTCAGCAGCATGTCAGGGCTCAAAGCCCAAACCCGGCGCAGTTAGGTCAGAATTCCCTCAAAGACAGATATCGACTGCCACAGTCCGCCTAGGGCCCAAGGGCTTTCTTTGTTCTCCATCCTCGGTCTTGGTACTTTGATGTAAAGGCGGCTCTTCTTCTAAATGCTCCTCGCCCGCCCCGCCGTACTCCTCCCTGCAAAGGATCCTGCAGAGTATCCTAGCCGCCTCCAGAGTATTCTGCACGGTGTGTCCTGAAGAGTTTTTTGTCTGGAGTTCAGAGAGTTGCGCAGAGTATCCCCATAGTGCTTGCCCTCCAACGTGTGCCGCAGAGCATACACGGAGATACCGGGAGTGCCCACGCCATGAGTCATTTCTTAAAAATTAAATCGTAAATGGAAGTCCGCTCTCCTCGCCCTCTTGTGCTCATCCCTGCAAGCCCTGCCCACCAAGCGTGCAGCAGTGCATCCCACACAGCTAGCAAAACTTCCCACCAATTCATTTCAGCTGGTTGGTGTGGGATACTCGAAGTACATATTCGTTCCGACTTGAGGCTGGGACCTGATTCGGTTTCTATCACGTGCTCCAGGTATCTTCCTCCATTCTCTCGACGAGCGACCGCTTGCGTGGGCCCGTGCCCCAGCGGACTGCACCGGACCCTGGCGGGAAATTGGCAGCCTTGGAGCCCTGCCTCTAGCAGTTGGGAACCGGCCCACGGAACACTGTGACACTGAGTTGACACATGTTGACACTGTGTCTAGTGATTTACTTGCAATGGTCCAATTGCCAGCGGATCGACGAACGTCGTCGGCACGGACCCTGCACCTCGAATGCTATCTTTGCCCAACAATCCCCAGCTGTCGCCCCTTCGAGATTCCTGCTGTTTGAGGTCCGCACTGCGCCGCTCTACGAGCCAGGGCCTTGCCTCCCACTTGCGCCCAGGGCCAGGGTGGTCAGTTCGCGTGGTGAAGTTGGGAGAACAGTCACAAATAGCGCAGTGCTCGTCACTCATATCCGGGACGCAGTACGTGCGACAAACACGTCGTCCCATGCACGCGGCCATGATTTTATGCTCCATTTGGCTGCCGCCCCCAATCTCACATGAGATTTTGATGATTTTGCATTCCCGCAGAGGGTTGCGATCTTCCAATAGCAGCAACAAAATAAAGAGATGTCTCTGATCCAGAACCCTTACATTGTGCTCAAGCTGTCCTTGAGAATATCTCGGACCAAGGAAACGTGGAGGTCTTCCACAAATTTGCTGGCCTTCCGGTGAGGCAGGGTGGGGTTGCCCATGGTCATCCGTAGGAAGGCTTCCAGACTCACTTCCCCTGTACGCCTCGCAGGCATATGGAACGATTGCCAAGGAAGACCCTGTGCCGAACAAGCGGTACGTGCCGGGGCCTGCTGGGGAGGGTGCAGGGGCTTCCTAGCAAGTCACCATTCAGCAAACAACGTGGGAGCGTGGAATTCCCATCAGAATCCGACTACCTGCATTTTGCTGCTTCACGGGCCCAGGCTGAGAGATGCTTCGGGGCAGCGGTTGTTCACTTTCAATGGCAACTTCCAGGAGAAGGCCTGCAGCCTCGCGTTTCACCAGGGTGTTGAGGTCAGACTATGTCAGACTTGTTCGGGCTTAGGGCCTTTAGGATTCAATGCGTATTCGGTCAGACTTCGTTGAGTCACGGAGTGTTTCGCAGGCCATCAATGTGGTGAATGCCAACGGCCGGCTTGTGTGTGACACGGAGCGCTGTGCTGCGCCGACGGGGAACGCACCATACTTCCAGGCAAGCAGCGGCCGCAGCGGGAAATTGTTTGGGCTCGATGTAACAACCCGACCGACCCGGCCGACCATGGACAGCTCTCCAAGCCACTCCATCTCAGCATGCTTCGCTGATTGAGATGATTTAACTCTGCCCTTCAAGGCACTTGCTCGGAAGTCCTCGGACTCCCATCGCATCCAGCCCATCCGGCAGGTAAGAGTGGCTCCGGGTGTGGACGCCGGACTTATTCTTTGTGGTGCCCGGCTCAGGGATCAGTTGAACCTCAGATGCTCCGGAAAGGGCCTGGGGATATTGCGTGTCAGAAGTGCTGCCAGAGCTTGGCCTCGGTGTGTAAACGAAGTCGGGGGATGTCCTTTTGCAGCCCCCCCAATCAGCCTTTGAGTAGGGAAAGCCATGACAATCCTCGGGCGCGACTGGAACAGATCCAGAGAGGTGCCAAGGTTGAGGCGGGTGAATCAACGGAGCCCTTTTTGCCACGTGTAATGCCCGTTTTCCCATTCGGTCCAAGGATTGCTGGCGATCGACAAACTTCGCCGGACATGACTCGTGTAGGAATTCTGGCCCGACCTCGCGATCCCGTAGGGACACATCGTGAGTCTCAAGTCGGGCCTTGTCCTTGTGTTTTTATTTCAACGTGCCATCCCGCATCGAGAGCAAGACTTGAAGCTAAGAGTCGAATTTTAGTCATTGCAGTCATAGGTGCTCCACAGGTTGCTGAGAGTCATTCAGATGGCTTGGGACGGTGCCAATTCACAAGACAAAGGTTTTGTGGAGGCTACACATGCTTCCTTGCATCGAGTTGCTCGCCATGTTTGCATAGGCCACTCATGCTGAGCCAATTAGTGGACATGTCGCCGCTCATTTTCTGACGCGGCACAGCAATTCTGGCACTTTGGATTGAGTGCTGGTATGAAGCTGCCGTGCAATCTTCGTAGAAGTCCACAGCTAAGCAGCATCGTCACAGAACAATACACAGCCTTCACCATCACGCGTAGAGTTGCGTCGACAGTTTCTCAAGCTCCTGACGATAGCACTGCCTGTGTTGATCCCTGTTCCACGTCCTCGTCATCCCGGGCCCCAGAGCAGTCCAAACCCCCTGGCGTCTTCCGGCTTGGCCCAGTAGCCGACTCGGCCAACGTTGTTGGCTAGCAGGGTGGCAGCGCCTGAAGGGGTGCCAGTACCAAAAGAAGAGAAGTTCGGGGAGGACTGTGGCCGCTCGCTTTTGCGGACAGTCGATCTCGGGTGTGTCAGTTTTTTGAGTAAGGCTTCAGGAATCGAGGCACGCGCCAGACCCAGCTCCGCGCTAGAAGCAGCAGTGCTACCAGTCATTACCAGTCCCAGCACCGCAACCTCAAGACGACAAGCAACAATGGCAAGCTGTGCATTGCTCGGCTCAGAGCCAAGAGGAAGGCTTTGGCGATAACATGCCGGGCTTCGTTTCAACCAAACCACTCTTCCACAACTTCGCAAGCAAGAGTCGATACCTCAGATATGCATTGTCACTCGCCGGATCGCTAGAAGCACTTAGTCTAGCTCCACTGCCAGAAGGGTCCAGTTCAGCGGTGTTTGCCATCCTGGCCCTTTCTCGTTTTGGACACCACCGCAATGGCTCCTCCGGAGGGCGATGATGAGGCTGGGTGAAGTGCAGACTTAGCGCCACTGAAGCTGGTGCATGGCTACCATCTCCTTGTGATTTGAGATTGCCGGTGAGTTTGCGGGTAACACAAATTGGCCTTGTGTACTCAGAAAAAAGCCGGCAACAACCCCTTCCGGCAAAGTTTGAGTAATTAAGTTTCACATCAACAGCTTCAGCCTGACGCAAGATCCATGCTTCCAGCCCGTATGGCGCATCTTCAAAGTACCCTGTCCCTGTTAGGCTCTTGGGCAGTGGCTTCCCGTCATTGACGGGCTGCACATTGGACAGCTGGTGGAGATAGAGGCCCAAAGGGGGAAGCTTGGCATGCTACCGTAGGCACCGAAATGTGTTATTCGCAAGGGGCCAGAGAACGCTGCGTTTCAACCAGCTACCAGAACTAAACACCTTGAGCGGGGCACCAAAACGAGCAAGATCATAGAAAGTCTGAGAAATTGGCAACCAGCCTTTGAAACGGCCATCCGCTCAAGAGAGGCTAGAGATTTTCCGACAGAGCTTTGAGTAAGGGGAGCAGAGATTGTGAGCTGGGGCAAACGGAATTGAAAGAGACTCGGGAATTGGAGTTTTTGCGAAAGGCGAGCCGGCCGGCTTCAGTAGTTTGCAAAGCGGGAGCAAGCCCCTACAAAGTCAAGAGAGAACTTACGCAGCTTGCACAAGCCCCTCGCAAAAGGACTAGAGAGTTTGAGACAGAGAAGCAGGTTGAAAAGGGATTGTGATTAGGAGCAAACCGTATAAACGGGACATAGGTGACATAGGGACTTCACGAAATCGGGGGTGGCTCATTCTAAACGACGGTCTGCAGTGTTTGAGCACTTTGAGCAAACCGTCCGAAAGGAATCGGATGGCCTGGACAACAGTCGTGATAGGCGAGAGAAGTGGAGAGCAGGGGCCAAGCCACCGGGAAGGAAAAGGACAAGGACTGGAGAGTTGGGGAAAGGGACTGGAAGTGTTTGGACGGATGAGCAAGCTTCCCAAACGGATCAGAGGGTTTGAGAAAGTGAAGCAACAATCGAGAGTGATGAAACGTATTTTTGAAAGGGAGCGGGAACGAATCCTTGAAAACGAGGGGAAGAAACTCGAACATGACCAAAACATCAGCAATTGACCGCCATAAAAAGACCAAAGATGTCAGAAGGGACCTTCTCCTTCGAAACGGAGGTTGCCAAATGCAAACACACGGTTCGAAGAGGAATTAGACAATCTCAGCAGAGGCAGAGAGCTGTCGTGAACAGGTTGCAGACCACGAATTGAAGACTCCTCTGACGGTTCCGGGGTGCGATCGTGCAAGCATTCGTCAGGCAAGCCACGCCAGTTTGGCAGGGAAGTGGGGGTCTCAGAGCTTATGTGAGGTGTGCGGCCCTCCATGCATTCGTAAAATGTTATGTGCTCTCGCCTCGCGCGTGCAGCAGAAGATGGCGTGGAGTGCAGTGTAGCAGGTGCAGGCAGTTCAGCAAAGTCCAGTGACGCCCAAGGTGTGGTCAGCTTGTCAACTGGCTTCCACAGGAGAATCTTTTCGAGATTGCTCTCCTGAGTCGCTTGGTCGATCACTTTGTCCTACTAGTAGCTGATAGGACATTATAGGCTATAGGATCCTGTAAAGGGGGCAGGGTGCTAGGGATTGTCGGGGAACCTTAGGGAGCATTGGGGAGAACTGGGGATGACGAGATCTAAACCCCCTTGAACCACCCCTCTCCTAGAATTCAGGCAACTTCACCTGTACCAGACTCAGGCACGGGGCGAACGGTGCGGGTGGACCCCAAGGACGTATGCAGCGTCGCCGACTGCCAGGCCACAATCTTAAGAGAACCTTGATTACTGAGGGTTCCGGAGGATTAGGTTTTGCAAGCCTCTATCTTCCTAGCGGTAGTTCGAGCTCGACTGGCAACAGCGCGTCTCACGACATTTACTTCTCAGGGTTCAGGTCGTTTAAACGGACGTATGGGCTCAAGGGTTTGTCGAGCAGCCCGCCGATATAGGAGGGATCGCCACGGTGTCGGACGAAAGAAATTTGCATGCTCGACCGGTCAAGTCAAGAGGATGTGTTCCGAAGCTTTGCGTGTCAATGCCCCGCACCGACTGGATTCAGACTGGGTGTAGGTGGCAGGCAGAGGCGACGCAGGTTGTGCTAATGACAGCAGAATGGGAAAATAAACCATCCTTGATTCTGACAGTCCAACCCTGCCAGGGCCCGACAACTGGCGGTGGGCCGGACAGCTATGACATAGTTATCGGTCCGAGGACGAACCGAGATGCACTCGGCGAGGCACGCTTTTCGACATGTCCTTGCTGAAATCAAGCAACTCGTGATACATTGCCGGCTGAATGCCTCAGAACAGCAGAACTTGCAACTGCCAGCGGTCACCAATCGTCAAAGTCTGGAGAGCGGACCGCAAGACCGCCTCAGGGCATACCCGTAGACTGTCAACTGCCTCATCCTTTCCAGGATTTCTTAATGCAGATTGTTGCGGAGAGAAAAGGGGCCTCAGAAAATGACAGCAAGACCACAAGAGAGAGAGGCGAGTGCAGGAACCAGAGGAGAGAGGGTTCCTTGCTTCTCCGTGGTTGGGTGAAGAAGACAGAATACCTGCCCTCCTCCCACAGCAGACCACGGGAGGAAAGAGCAAAAGAGTGCTGGGGTCTTCTCTTCAGCCCGCGGTTCAAACGGTTTTTTCAAGCCAGTGATTGCTTTGCCATCTCCACCCGAAAGATGCTGTGGAAACAGGGAGCCTTGCAGCAAATCGAGGGAGCTCGGCGTGCCAGGTCCTCTCCAACAGCTTGTTAGAGAAAGGCTTGGCGCTGAGCCTCTGGGCCTTTGACGTGCGCAGTTCTCCCGAGACTGCAATTCGCTTGGTTCTCACATCAGAGGGGCCCTCTTGACGAATCGTCTCTCCAGGCTTCTGTGTCCTTCGCCTCATTCAGCGCGATGAAGATCGTGAAGAAGTCATGAGGGTGACTTGCATGCAGCATATCTGCACGAGTGTCGCGAGCGAATCTTTGCATTCCTGCGGGAAGAACATGTCCGAATTTGCCAACTACTGCCTGGGCTTGCCCAGCCTGTCATGTTGGCATTGATGTCGTTCGAGTGTCTTTGGAACTGCACGCTGACGCAGTCCTGGTTTCCTCTGACTCTGGACCTACGGGCATGCTTGAGTGACCTTCATTCGTCACCTGATGGTCTGATGGGCCGCTGAACTTTGGCTTCCGACAAGGCGAACAGATAGATTCAGATAGATCGAGGTTCTGGTTTGATGTCTGCTGACAGTGAGTTTTGTGATTCGTGCTTCTGCCGAGATGCTGCGGGGCTTCGACAAGGATAGCAGGCCGGTCCCTCAGCCAAGCGTCACTTAGTCACTGCTTGCGCTTGGACATGTGCCTGCAGCGCTAGAGGCTTTGCCGACTGGCAAACGAAGTTGAGGAGGGCTACCTCGGTAAGTGAAAGCCTCAGTTCGCTTCAGCAGGGCCACACCTTTGCGAGGATTTCACTGCCGCAGGCTGAATTTCGGTATCCCAGCTGCGAAATTCACAGAACAGTTCGGAGCCGCTCTATGATTGCAGCCACTGTGCTGAGGGGCGGCCGCGGCAAAGTTATGTGGCTGGATCCAGAAGACTCCTCTGTGCCTCGTGGTGCGGCATTGCGAAGGCCTGCAGCTTCTTGTATGTCTGGGTCTGTTGCGGGACTTGGGGTCTGTTCAGTTCTGTGACGACAGCAAACTACAGTAAATAGTAACTATATCAAACCATGCCCGCACACCTGAGAGCAATGTTCCGAATCTCGTGTCGACAGGAATGATGCAAACATTACCAGCCTGGCCGAGATCTTGCAGCCCTTTGCGGAGGACTGCGCGGGCTCTGCGCGCCAGCATTTACCTGAAAAATCCTAGGTCCTTTCTGAACGAAGGCATCCCAGCAATTCAGAAGCTTTGAAGGGAACAGCGTGTCCAAACAGGATGTCCTCGGAGCTCCAATTTCGGAGCGCACGCCGGCGATGGCGTGCATGTGAGGTCCTCGGTGAGACGCAAATGCGTATCACGTTGACTTCTGTTCAAAGGGGATGCCTCGGGCTTGGACAAAAGCCGCCTCCGTGCGCCTCAGGGATCAAAGAGGGCCATGCCGTGAGTCCATCGTGAGGTCTATGACAGATGCGGAGGAAGCCATTTACGAGCACCCGACTGCTTCAGACACCATCATCGAGGACAGTCATTTTCGTGTATCCAAACAGACTGCTTGCAAAGCCCTCATTTCTTGCATTTCCTTGCAAAAACTGACGAAATCGCAGCATCTGCATGTGGAGCGATGTAGCTTCCTGGAAAGACATAGTGACAAGCCGTGGGTTTTGAGAACTTGAAAACCAGTTCCCGCACCCTCCGGCATGCGAGGAGTTCTACGGGAACTGGGCACGCAGCGTGTTGCGGGTCGTTCGGCCGGCGTGTTTGTTGACTGCTAGGATTTGATTCCAGTGCACTTTCAAGATGATCCAGCAAACAGTAGCAGGGTCAGGATCCGCTGTGAAAGGTGCACTTTCTGGGCCCTGGTGAGTGCAAGGCCGCTCGCGCCCGGCACAGGGTCACAGACTCTGGGAAAGGACCTTTGGAGTTCAGAACAGCAAGGCCCAGCAGGGCCCCTCTTCTTGACACTCAACCGATTCAAAAGCTTCAGGACTTCAGGAATGAGATTTGGGCCTCGCTTCTGATTCTAAGCAACAGTGCACATTGATTCCCTTGGCACACCGGCCAGACGTCGAGTTTTGTCTGTAGACCTCCGTGACACCATGATGCGAGGAAGAGCCACTGAGCCACTGCACCTTAGATCGCCTTAGCACTTCTTCCAGACTGATGAGGCTTGATGAATTATCCGATATAGGAGCACAAGTAGCTCCAGCCTTGCCTAGCGAGGTTGTCTTAAACGACAAACTTCCCTCGAAATATCCTCAAGCGCACAGCAGCGGCGTCATGCGTGCGTGCGCGTGTGTGTGTGTGTGTGTGTGTGTGCGCGTGCGCGCGTGCGTGCGTGCATGCGTGCGTGCGTGCGTGCTTGCGTGCGCGCCAGGCTGTGTATAGGGATGTCGGGGAACTGTTTTCCGACGTTTTAGCTTTAGGAAAGGATTTCTGTTTATGACTTTGACGTGAACGCGATCCCGGCAATAGCAAATGGCAGCCCGATGCTGCAAGTAGCTAGGGGGAAGCTTCAATATAAATTGAAAACTGGGAGCTGGTAACCCAACAAGTATCGCAACTAGCCCAACTAGCCCAGAACCATAGAAGCATAACGTACATTTTGAGCAGAGTAAGCTTCCAATCCTGAAGCCCAAGATCCTACTCAGCTGAACTTGAAGTCTAGCTCCCACATCCCAAACAGCTGCAACATCTGGCATCCCAGATGGGTACAGGTATGTCAAAGCCTAGCATACACCCCAAACCTAAAACAACAACAACGAGTGAAGAGTGCCCCTCAGGTATGTGGACGAGCCTTGGCAGGAGCTGGTTGAGAACCGGTGGTGCAGCAACTCGCATGCGCAGGCCGAGATTCAAATTGAGGGTCATGGAAACAATAAGATTATCAGTGATACGGGATTTACAAGGCGTCGCGCAATCCGGAATATGGCCTGCCTCACGAATGGTGTGTGGCAGATATTCGGCAGATTGAAAACCTAGATAACGGGGGATTCCGTTGGCGGCAGTTTGCATCAACAAGTCGGAAAAAGCGGGTGGTTCAGAAGGGAACACTTCCATGATACGAAGGGCAGGTAAATCTCTTGAACTTCAATTACGTGTTGTTAGTTGGTAAAACTGGCACAGTGAGGTTTACTGCAGGTTTCGCTCTATATGTATAGCCACCTTTCTCTGCAAGTGGCGAGGCTACCCCACTGGTGAAGGCCAAGGCCTCAGAAACAAGTGCATCATCGTTATGTTTGCTGGCATGTCCTGTATGCATATGTACATCTATACATACATGTATATATATATATATATATGTAGACAGATATAGGTATCACTGGCATGGAAACTAAGTTTGTCACAAGTAGGAAATTATTCACTCTCTGCTGCTATCGTTCGTTCATTTGTACATGGTTATGTGGGTTGCTGCTGTCGAGAGCGATAGGCACCGCATCAGAAATGAGCAAGGCATCGGACGAATAAGACTGTGAGCAGGAGGATGAGGACGATGAGGATGACAGTGCACATCGCTTTGGTGACCCCTGGTGACGATGATTATGATTCTTGCCGCCGTCTGGCTTTGTATGACTGAAGCGACTGTTTCCGTGGATGTTCAAATTATGTTGTCTGTATTCGGCTTAATGTTGAGCAGTTGTCAACTGACCGTTTGCTTTCGCCTGTTCAGGGTTTTGCCGCTCGAGTTGGACAGTCCAGACCTCGACCATGAAGAGCTACAGAATTGCTACAAAATTTGAAATGCAACACCCTTGAGCAACAACCTAAAGCCCGAAACCCCGCATTCCCCCACAGTGAACATCAAGCCCTAAATCAGGACTAGCGGCTAGCGCAGAAAACAGTTCGGAGACATGACAGAAGACTCATATATGAACCGTAGACGGGGGGTTGTTTTACAGCTTCCAACCAGGCAGCATGTTTGACATAGCTCGAATCCATGACGGACACCAGGCGCAATCCTCATCCATGCCTGCAGCAGGCACGACTTCGATCGCGACGATGTTTGCTATGTTCCCTAGGTTTCATATGGGCAATACACAACAGCATATAAGACAGTCGGCATCGCCTGTCTGAAGGTTTACTGTTCTCGTTCTTATTGTGGGTGGAAAGAGATATTCAATGGCTGCCGCCACTGCCGCCGACCCCCAGATAAGTCGTGAATCCTATCATGATCATATCTTTCCTTGCAGATTACGACCCCCAGATAAAGCAGGTCTTGCGGCCCTGTCTCGCTGTAGTTGCAGCTCTGTTTGGCTGTGGCCGAAGCTCTTCTCTTTCCGTGGGGGCGGTGGGGGCGGTGGAGGGGGTTTGGGCCTTGATTCCCACTGACCATTTGCATGGGCGCTCGAGGCTCCGACCGAGACCGTGGGCCGAGCGTCCTGTCAAAAACGGTGAGGGAGGGTAAAGCCTCCCGGTATACGGGGGCGGAAATGAGTCGGCTTCGCCTCACACAATACGGACGTTAGTCCGTTACCCGGGATCGGCGCGAGCGGTGTGGGCGGAGGTCCCAACTAAAGCAAGGCAGGGCGGGGCAGGCAGGAATTCAGGGCAAGGGCAGAGGGGCGCCGGACCTGGGCGCAGACCCCCAAAATGGCCATTAATTAACTGCTTCCTCACAGTTGGCAAGGTCAGGGTTGCGCTATTCCTGAGATAGCAGCTTCGCGTAGCTACAGCTACACCATGAGCAGGGTTTACAGGTGTTCGTTGCATTGCGTACGGATTGGAAGTACCCAGAAATAGTTGCGGGAAGAGTAGAGCCTTAATATAGAGTACTTCTATTCAGGGCTCTTGCTAACAGCAGTTGATCCACACTCCACACGACAGGCTCCAGCGAGTAAGAAAGCGCGGAAAGAGCAAATCACAGAGCCACAGGACATTTTGCATGGGTGTCTTCTGACACATGTTCTTGTCCATGATGGAGTCTTGACAAGCATTTGTGGGTCGAGCATGTTCGCCTCAAGTGTTGGTTTGACAGGCGAGCAAGCTGCTGCTACGGAAACATTGTTTCGGTCGCCAGATGCCCATGCACTTTGTAGGACTTCCTGCTGATCCCGGGCGCCGACAGTGCGCAACTGGAGCAGGGCGTGGCCATGTGAGTGAATGAATTGCCTGCGTTGCCCGACTCTGGGCGCAGCCCCTTAAATATGCCTCGGAAAAAAACAAGAAAAACCCTCCCTAGTTTCACAGGTGCCGCCCCAACGGGGGTCGGCGGATTATGGGTAATGCGGGTTTTCTATCATCAACCGTAGTGCTATGTCTGTGTGCCCTCGGTATTTGCTGCTGCAGAAGAAGGCCCTCCCGGATTTGGCAGAGATTCAGGGTTCAGAGCTCAGCATTGGAGGTTTCGCACCGCATCTAAGTATCATCCCGAGACTTGGCGCATCTGGGTAGTTTTCTAAACTAGGGCCCCTTTTCGGGCTCTTTTGTATAACGGTGCCGTACTGTATTGGGGACCTAGAAAGGGATCCTAATTTAGAGAACTACCCATATCATACCCGCCTGTCTCCAGGCGAAAAGGTTTTGGCTTAGCGAAGCTTTCCACAAAACCCAGGTCAGAATCGTAGGGTCGTCCTGGACCGTTGAACCAAAAGTCTGCAAACACCAAACACCAAAAACCCCCAAACACCAAGCCCCCCCAAATCTTAAGCCATAATCATAAATCCTAAATCCCAAATCAAATCATCAAATCCAAACTCCTAACATTACTGAGGCCTACAAATCCCAAACGCTTAATTCCAAACCCTAAGCCCCAACCCGGAAAATAATAAACCCCAAAACCCTAAATCCCCAAACTCAAAAGCCCAAGCCCGAAAGCCCTAAAGCCCTAAACCCTAAACCCTAAACCCTAAACCCCAAAACCCTAAATCCCCAAACTCAAAAGCCCAAACCCGAAAGCCCTACAGCTTCACACGCTCGGCCCAGGAATGCCCTTGCTCCCAAGGCTCGGCTGAGGTTGTGGTATGGGACTTATGCTTCTTTCGAGGGTTTAGGGTTTAGGGTTTCGGGTGTGTCACAGTGCCACGGCGCGCTCCACCCATGGAGTGGTCGTGGATCGCGCCGTCTTCGTAACGTGGAACCCACCCACAACCACCCGAAGCAGGACTATAGAACGGGTTTTGTGTTCTGCTTCTCCCACTTCGCCGTGCGTGATGTGTTACAGTACCAGCGTCGTCCTCGCCGGAGTCCTCGCCGTCCACTGCCAGAGTCGTCCGCCGTGTCCGCCGTGCAGTTGCCCTCGCCAGAGCCAGAGGCGTCCCCGCCAGATTTGCCCGCCGAAGCTGTTTTAGCGAGTGTGCCCCGCCAGGGTCGTCCGCCGTCCCCGCCAGGGTCGCCCGCCAAGCTCGTTTTACGAGTGTCTGGAGTCTGTCGTGCGCCGCCCGCCAAGCTCTTTTTGCGAGTGCCAAAGCGCCGTCCCCGCCAGGGTCGTCCGCCGTCCCTGCCAGATTCGCCCGCCAAGCTCTTTTTGCGAGTGCCAAAGCGCCGTCCCCGCCAGGGTCGTCCGCCGTCCCCGCCAGGGTCGCCCGCCAAGCTCGTTTTACGAGTGTCTGGAGTCTGTCGTCCGTCAGGGTCGTCGAGTGCCAAAGCGCCGTCCCCGCCAGGGTCGTCTGCCCGCCAGGGTCGTCCGCCGTCCCCGCCAGGGTCGCCCGCTGTTTTAGCGAGTCGCCCGCCAAGCTCGTTTTACGAGTGTCTGGAGTCTGTCGTCCGCCGTCCCGGTCAGGGTCGTCCGCCGTCCCCGCCAGGGTCGC